CAGACCGTCGCCCAGATGAGAAGCGGTCAAAGCGGAAACAACTACAAGGGAAATTTTTAGACGCTTAGAGTACAAAGTGTCCGGCAAACTCGCCACACGGCACTAAATTGGTGGCGTTTGCCAACCGGGTCGCCTAATCCTGAGGAGCTCCAAGGGAAAAGAAGGGACGTGCTGACAAGGTAAGTACGCTAAACAAATCCCACAAGTTATTAAATTTCGCGACCCAATTTAGATATAGTTGGACGCGGGCTAGGGTTCGGGCTTGAGCCTCAAAATTTAGATTAGATTTCACAGTAAGTACTTTACAATCTTGACTATATGCTATCACAAAACAATAACTAAAACTAATTTATTTCAGAGTTCAACGTCGTATGTGTTGAAGCTGCAGCAGGGAAAACGCTGATGGCGAAAACCCAGCGCGAGTCCGCACGGAGCCAGTTGGTCCGGAGGACAGCGTAGCGTGGCCGGAAGCAGGGCGTCGGTGGACTCGGAGATGACCACGTGGCCAGCGCGGGCATACGTTCCCGGAACGGACTCACCGAGGGAATCTCCGTATCTGGCCGTCTTGGCGGCAGTCGCTGTAGCTGCTGCCGCTTGAGGCTGCTGCTGCTGCTACTGATCGCTGCTGCTGCGGCCAATGCTGCTGCGGCTGATGTTGCTGCTGCTGATGCTGCTGCGGCTTATGCTGCTGCTGATGCTGCTGCGGCCTATGCTGCTGCTGATGCTGCTGCGGCTGATGTTGCTGCTGCTGATGCTGCTGCGGCAGGTGGTCGACGACCAGGTTAGGTCCGCCTGGTAAGATTTCACTTCCCAAATGTTTAAATTTCCGGGGCCCTTTAGTTAGGGTCCCCGGCGGCTTCAATGTAAAAAAAACCACTGTAATTTACAAGTTCCGGACTAATAAATAAACACTCACTTTGAGTTATTCAAACACTAATCACGAACTTAAATTTTTGGTCTTTTTTTCTGACCGTTCTCCCACTACTTCTTGCAGCAACTAAAGCAAAACCCTGACCTACACCAAAGTCGCTCGCCATGTTCCCTCCCGCTCTCTCAAAATGGGTCAGCGAACGTATTCAAGGCCATCAAACCCAGTTAACGAGCGAACCGGGCTAAATTTAAATAGCTAGATCCTCTCCCGCTATCAATAGTCGGTGTCACCACCAAATCTTATCGATAGCGGAACCTGCTGACGTATCGGTTCGTTTCAGTATTTTCCCGACGGCTTCAACTGAAAATGCAACAACCATTAATTATTATCACTTTACATAGTTTAGTCAAAATCCGATACCTATCGGTATTTTGTCAGTTTTTAGGCGCTATTATTGAAATTTGTGTATCGTTTTAAACTTTTTAGCTAATCTATGCTTGTTTTTTATTCATGTATGACTACTTTTGATTGGTATTTCGGATTTTTGCCATCCTCCCGAAGAGTTACTCACATCACAATCAAATATTATGAGTCATTCATTATGATTCAACATATTTTTCCATGTTTATTCAACTATGACTTTACAAATTTATTTACGCTTGGTAAATAAATATAAAATGTTTTCAATTTAGAACATTTGTTAACGATACAATCTCATTTATTTTTTAAATTGATATATTTTGTAGTTGCTAAAATTATAAAGCACCTCTTTAATAGTTTGATGGCATTGCAAAAGAAGAGCAAAGGAAGTTTCTTTTTGTATGCATATATTAATTATGAATATTTTTACTTTTGAAGTTATAACAATTAAAAAAACCTTTTTAGAGCCATGAATATTAGATTTTTATTAATACACATAAATCCCAGTCCCCTATCTTATGTTGTATCATTAAATAATGGCAAATATCAAAACCAAATATCCCTTCATATTTTCTTATAACTAAATTCGCCTTACTTCAAGTTAACTTTATTAACACTATTTAATCTACGATTAAGGCTAGAAAAAAAAAACAAAAAGGGTACATAAGTATCTAGGGAATCACAAAGAGTCGGGATGAGACGGGCGATCGGTCCACGATCGGATCAGTCTGCGCCCTATTTTGGGCGCTGCATAGTCAGCGCTCCTCGCTGCTGCTCCCATCGCCGCCGATGAAGTCATCCCGCAATCCGCCCCTGTGCTCGTAGTTGTGGTGGTGGTGGATGTGCTCCTCCTCCTCCTCCTCTTCGAGCTCCGGGAGGGCAGGAGGCGCCACCGGAAGCGGGTGATGCTCGTGGTGCTCGTGGTGGTCATGGTGGTCGTGGTGATCGTGGTGGTCGTGCTTCTCGTGGTGGTGGATGTGCTCTTTGGTTTGGTGGATCTGGATGGGCCGGTGGTCCTCGTGGATCACCTTCTTCTCCTCCTTTAAAACGAGTGGCTTGTGGTGGTGGTGCACGTGTTTTACCACTGTGTGGATGTGCTTCTCGATCTTCTTGTGGATGGGCACGTGGATCACAATTTTCTTTTTTTTCTGGTGGCTTCTATAAAAGACAGAAAATACAATTAGTTTGGTAGTTAATTATGAAATGAATCGTTTTAATCAGATTCGATTTGATATTTTTAAATACTTTTTGTAAATGAATTTTAGTTTAAATAATGTCAAGCTTGTATAAAAAAAATTGTTGTGTGCAAGGGTTATTATCAACAACTACTTTATCCTTTTACTTTTGTCAAATTAGTTAGGAAATTTGCACAATAATATTTTTATGCTCCAAAAGGAATTTAAGTCAACTATGTTATATTCCTATAAGACTAATAAAAATGATCACTTATTAACAATATATTTTCAAGCTATAATTGCCTTCGGAAGGTATATGAAAACTTTAAAAATCGAGTGAATTGATTCCTAATCAAAATTTAATTTTTTATCTAATTTTCAAATGGCTTTAGAGTAATCCCATGGTTATCCATACCCCGCTTCCGTTTCAGGCACGCAGACGAGGAGCAAAACCAGCGCCACCACAATCGAGAGCCTCATCAGCTGCAAAAAATAATCACGGATGTCGGGTATAATGATATCCTAGCGTATTCCTGGGCATATGTATCCCGAGATCACCACTCACCAGACTGCGGTTATCCATATCGCTTGCCTGGATCTCTAAGGTGTTGAGGTGTGGAAGGCTCCGACGATGCGGCTGCTTTGATTGCTGCCCCACTGCAACCATTTTATTTATACAGGCCCACGGAATGCGGTGGAACACCCCAATACGAATGCGAAAACGAATACCCCGGCGCCAGTTGGCGGCGCTTCCGTGACGCAGTCCATCGGAGATATGGGCAGAGCCATGGGTCTTGAGTTTTGAGTTTTGAGTCTTGGGTTTTGCTTTGCGCATGCGCACGCGCCACAAACAAAAAGCGCTGGCAGCTCAGTGCAAAACCTGCAATTTTCATTCATTTTGGATGGCAGCGATCATCGTGTCATGAATTGTGGGTGGTGTTAAGCCAGGTGAGGACTAGACGGTGGGGGATCGTACCCTAAGCCTAAATTAGGCTTAATTTGTAAAATCTACACGGCGAAAAATAAGTATATTTGTCTTTAATAATTTAATTTTTTTAAATTAGTCTTCATATCATTTCAATAAATCTACTTACTTAATAGTATAAATTAACAAGTGCAATATATAATTTTTATATAATTAGTATTAAAAAACTAAATTTGTCTACAAAATGTCTAAAGTTGGAATAAATACTTTATTTGGGTTTTTATTAGAGGTCAAGTTAGACTTAAAGCATTATATTTTATTGTTTTTCAGTCGATTTTGTTTTTTGTCAGTTTTAGTCATCTTCTGGCTGCACAATTAATCAGATAAATAGGATCCCCCGACTTTGGATTTTCCACTAATTTGCAGGGCATGGGAGCTTCGTCCCCATTGAAGGCTTTACCATTGTGTTTCTCTTTGTTTTTCCGTTTTTCCGTTTTGTCTTGGCTGTGTGTGAACTTCTTCTAATATTTTTGTTTTTTTTTTTTAGCAGCTCACGCAGACGGAAGGCACGGAAAACTGCACCCGAAACTGAGGCTCCAAAAGACCCAAACTCAGTCAACGGAAATAGCAGGAGTGCAGCGTGTGTTTAATACCCACATAGATATGTTGCATGGCCGCCCAGCCCCTGGATTTCATTTCCCAACCCGATTTCCCCAGCTTAGTTGGAGTACAAGTACATGGCATGTAACGCGAGAAATAGAGAAATACGTTACACATAGATCGCATGCACATGGCGCATAATTTTATTATGCAATCGTACAGGCGATTTGCGGCTGTTATTTAATTGCGAATGGCCAAATTATTTGTTTTTTGTTTTCAAATGCGATCACTGTTAGAATGTGGAGACCTATCGATATCGTTGGCAGTTATCGGTTGGAGCCAAAACGCAAAGAAGACGCAGCGACGAAGAAGAGGGGAAGGAAAAGAGAGAAGGCGAAAAGAACAGAGAACAGCGATAATAGCGTCACCACAGCACAGTGGGCCGAATCGTTCATCAAGCTCACTTAAAGTTAACCTTTCAATAATGAGTCTGTTTAAACTATTATATTGCAAACTCCCTGATAATATCAAGTGACTATTAGAAGTCTTCCTCAGATATTTTGCTTTTTAAATGACGAAAATATGTTTTAATAAACATACAATAGATGTCTAGTGTAAGTAGTGTACAATGGTACAGAGGAACATCAGCATTCTTATAGACTTCAATACATTTTTATGTTAAAAATCTGAAATTAATACGTTGGTCAAATACAGGTATTCAAACCAATCGAAATATTGTTGATAGTCTAACTTACCAAAACGTTATCAACACTTTAAATAAATACTATTTCTTACTCTTTGGTGCATGCTTTCTTTTAATATAAATTTTATATAAAATTAATAATAATAAATATTATTAATATTAATGGTTTATATTTCTTTAAAAAAGAAAATAGTGATGAGCTAAAATTTGTTCTCGCCACGTTGATCATCAGGCCCACTGTGCGCAGACTGGCTGAGTGTGCGCCTGTGTATGTGTGTGTGTGTGCCCCCCAATCGAAATCTTTTTTTAGTATTGAAAGAACAGTCGGGCAAGAAAGTTGGGGCGCAGCAAAATCGAGCCAGACAAAGTAAATAACAAAATAACGCCATACATATAGACAGTATTTCATTCCGAGAATTATTTGTTGATGAACAGCAGCTAATAACATTTGTCCGCCGTGTTTTAGTTGGTTATTTTTCATTCATTTTCCATTTCTTTTATGTTTTTGTTGTGGTGCGTCTGTGTGTGAACCAATTGTTGCTGCTGCCAGAGTATTGGTGCCGTGATTAACAAACTTCCAGTGACAAAGCCCAAAAAAAGCAGTAAAATAATATGCAATAACAACCCGGATTAACGAGAGATCACGTTCTGGAGTTTTTGTGGTTGATTTTCGACGAGATTTCAATTCCAATTCCGATTTCGATTTCAAGACTTTCGAGTTGCACCATAAATTTTGGAGTGTGTTTGTGGGCATGCGATCACTATCCCAATTGGGAGCAGCTCTCAATTCTCGATTCCAAATTGAATTTCCCCTGGGAAGAGTTCTATGTGATCAGATACCCCATTGGAACTACCAAGCGGCAGCACTTGTAGAGCTTCTGATAAGAAGCTGCGCCGATCAACCTGTTCAATTGAACGAGTGTGTTTGTGCAAAAATTTGCTAGAATTTGTTAGCCATAAATGGCCACAAACCGCCACAAAAGTCAATAAACCCCAGCCCACATCCACATCTCAAAAATGTTCGATCCGGGCGTTGAGAATGGCGAAAATCAATCGAAAGCAAAATTCCATAAGTGGCGGACGTACATCACAACTATTTCTATATATTTAGACATATATATTTAGATATTCATCTGGCTGCGAGTGTGTGTGTGTGCATTGCAGGTTCGGTTCTAAAAATCCAGAAATACTTTGTACTCCAAGTGGAGGCACTGGAGGGTAAAGGAGAGGAGGGGATGGGACCTGTTTCATCCCACGCACCGAACGCCCAGTTAGTTTACCACTAGAGGAAGTCGTATTTTCAATGTCTTTGGCGCGGATTTCGCTTTCCCATTTGCCGCATTTCCAATTTCCCATTTTCCTCTTACCACTTACCGCCTTTGGCCGTAAATCATGGCCAATTAAGGTCCGCACCCTCGGCCAGTTAGTGCGTCACCATTGCCAGGTTCAGGTTCAGTTCCATTTCCATTTCCAATCCGATACCCAATATCGACATCCCCCAAAAGTCTGGCGAGTGACCTCACGAGATGCGTCATCGTTATTAAAGCGAAAGCGCCCCAAACAAGCAAAACTGAATCAACAGAACAGAACCGAAACAAACAGCGGAAACTTGGGCGATATACAGATATGTATGTAAACCCAAACCCTTGGGAACTCACAAATATCCAAGGCAGGGTAAAGGTTTGTCCAAACATCGAAGAATAACTTTTTTGAATTTGTAGATTCTTTGCATATTTCTGTTCCATACGATACCTCATAAAACTTATAGTTAACTGAGGTCCTCAAGCTATTCAATCTCGAGCAATTCGTTCGGAATACAAATTGGGCACAAGGCTTAGAGTTATGTGCTCATCAATTGATGCTGTTTTCATATCACTTTATTGACTTCCATCTCAAATTAAGCTTGGCATGCAAATTAATTAAAAAGTTGCTATAAACGAATATTTTCTGACTGGAAAAATCCATGATCAGCAACAAGGTGTTTTGAAAACATCGTTTAATTGCGTGCCATGAAGCAAAGCTTTTAAAATGTTGTTATTTTCGAAAGAAAACCAGAAGAGCACTGATTATTTGTCCCCGTGTACTTACGCTTATCTGGTAATTTGGATGGAATTCACAGAGATAAGCCCTGAAATGTTTGTGTGCTTTCGTGGTTCGTCTTGTGCTCATTTAAATGTTTTTTTTCTTTGGTATCTTTTCAGCTAACTAGAGATCTGGCCCACAAGAAAGCAGCAACTCTGAGATAAACAAACTGAAAAAAAAGGAAGCAGACGAAAAAGCACAGTCAAAATGCCCGTCTTCCACACAAAAACCATCGAGAGCATATTAGATCCTGTCGCCCAGCAGGTAAGCATCGTGTGACAATGGGGTTTACGCTTTTGGGGTTGGGGATAGAGGGCTGAACTTTTGTTTCAAATAAATCTTTTGTCCGCTTAGCTATAACTAGTAGGCAAATTGGCGCCCAAGAAGGTAACTTTCCATGGTTTTTAAACATTGATTAAGTGGACATGTTCAAGAAACAAACGCGCAGACATATACTGGGAGAAACAGACCCTGTTGATATTAGACATTTAATAAGTTTAAAATTTTGGTATAAAATTCTCAAGATTATCTATTTGATATTTTTCTAGTACAAATTTTTAATTGCCTACCTATATTCTAAATGGAATATGTTTACTGCTTTAGGGTCGCGTTTTTCCCCAGTGTATGCTTGCGTGGTAGAAGAAACATCGATAGTTGTGAGTTTTCACCTGACTGCGCACCACTGACTCCACTTTCCACTTTCCCCACCAACACTCATTGATCGATCCCTTGTCGATAGCTGATATTTGCACCTGACATCTCCCAATTGCATCTGTTTGGCATGTGCTGGGTGTTATGACGTATATGTAGTCCACCCGCCCTTTCCGATCCGATCCGATCCAATCCTATCCGATCTGATCGCCCCCCGAATGTATATCCATTTATTTTTGTGTGTTTTCCATCACGAGAAGAAACAAACGCGCGGAAAGGAGGCGGTCTTTGTTGTTTTTGGCGTTACTTAACTTGTCTAAAAATAAATGAGGTAGAAATAATAAGAATAAATGTTGATCAGAGGCCAGCGGCCAACCTGAGCTTCTGAGGACAGGCAGAATTTTAATTTAATAACGCAACAAATGAGAATGAAAAATCAGGCGGAGCAAAGAAAACAAATGTTTTTTGGCCGAGTTCCAAAAATAGAAGCATAAAATACGTTTGGGAAAATCCAACAACAACGGTGGCAACAGCAACAACAACAGCAACAGCATCAGCGGGAAGATACAACCAAAATAAAAACATTTACGACGGACAAGCCATGAAAATGAAATCATGGCAAATGGCAAAAACAGAGGCTATAGGAGGTGAGAACTGTGGACTGAAAAGGTGTGTGGGAGTATCTGTGTACAGACATCTGCATCTGTATCGGTATTACCCAAAGGTGTGGGCATCCATCGGTGCGGATGCGAATGAGTGAGAATTTTGGTGGTCTGAAAACTGTGCCAAAAAGCAAGCCCAGTGCATTAGTCATCTGCCGATTTTGTATGGTGGCAAACAAATGAATTAAAAACGATCATTCAGCACATCAATCAGCACATGGATACATAAAGTCAAACCACATATGTCCCTGTCTTTGACATAATTATTCAAGTGCTAGTTCTGCTTAATTGCATAATTAGTTTGTCAAGTAGGCCAATTGCTGGTAATTGGTGGCGCCCAAGAGAACAGGAGAAGGGAGGCCCCATGTAATGCCCACCTAATCCCCCGGATTACACCAGTTAAGTGCTTGGTCTTATGTCTTCGACCTAGCCGCGCTTCGATTTAGTTTGGATTTAGTTTCGATTTAGTTTCGCTTTAGTGGGGCTCAGTGGAGATTAGTGCTCAATCTCTATAAATAGCCTAATGGCCAAATGGCCACCTTGAGCAGGTGCTGATGTCAAGCCCAAAACCATGTGGCGTTCCATGGCGCCGCCCACGCCCCTCAAAATCAGCGTCCGAGTATGTGAATGAATGGAGCGAGAAGCTGTTGGATCTACGATAAGTCCGAGTGGGTTTGCCTTCCGAGCGATCACGCAGCGCGATCATTAACAGTTTTGCTTCCATAAACAACTCCATTGCAATTGATTGATCAATCAGCGCGCTTGAATGGAGGGGATCGCATTGAGAAATCACCGATCACCAATAGACAGCGCACTCTTTTCACGAGATCAAATTGTTTGTCTCTAATTTGTGAGGCTTCGATTGATAGAAAGAATGTGCAGCATCGGAAGATTTAGTGGATTTGTGGTGTCTGGAGTAGTCTACTAATAACGTTTAATAGTGACAAATCAGTTTACGCATTCCAATTAAGCAATCAGGAGGAACGGAGAATTGATTTCAGCCACGGATAGATTTTCCGGTGCTCTTAGCATTCAACAATAAAAAATATATAAATAAATAAAATGTTTCAAATAAAGATCAAACCCTTTTTTTCTGTATACTGATTTTAAAAGGCGTTATATATAAATTATCTATCTTTATAAAATGTTCAGTGACACTTATAATGCTGGTTAGGGTAGGGCGATCTTTTCCTATTTTTCCCTCGGAAGAATTTCCTTTTTTTGACTGATCGGAAACCATGTATGCCCCACAATCCATTGAACGAAATCGTATACCACCTACACTTAGAAAAAAAAATTCCTTAGATTTTTGAAAAATTCCTAAACATAGTCTTAATGATGAGTCTTCCATATATGTTTAGAAAAAAAGTAAAAAAGGAATATCCAAAATAATTTTTTCCTGAATATATGCGGTGGGCTATTATTTTAGGAAGTTTTCCTAAACTTAAGGAATTTTCTTGAGGCTATTAAATTTGCCATCGAAATCCTTTGCTGAAGAGTGTGTTTCCCCCTATTCCCCCGGCAGGTATCTCGCCTGGTCATCCTGCATGAGGAGGCCGAGGATGGCAACGCAATGCCCGATCTCAGCCGGCCGGTGCAGGTGGTGTCGGCGGCGGTGGCCAATCTGGTGAAGGTGGGCCGCGAGACGATCAACAGCTCCGACGACAAGATCCTGCGCCAGGACATGCCGTCGGCATTGCACCGCGTGGAGGGTGCCTCGCAGCTGCTGGAGGAGGCGTCCGACATGCTCCGCTCGGATCCGTACTCGGGTCCGGCGCGCAAGAAGCTGATCGAGGGGAGCCGCGGCATCCTGCAGGGCACCTCCTCGCTGCTGCTCTGCTTCGACGAGAGCGAGGTGCGCAAGATCATCCAGGAGTGCAAGCGGGTGCTGGACTACCTGGCCGTGGCGGAGGTGATCAACACGATGGAGCAGCTGGTCACGTTCCTGCGCGACCTCTCGCCCTGCCTGAGCAAGGTGCACCGCGAGGTGAGTGGCCGCGAGAAGGAGCTGACCCACCAGGTGCACAGCGAGATCCTGGTGCGCTGTCTGGAGCAGGTGCAGACCCTGGCGCCCATCCTCATCTGCAGCATGAAGGTCTACATCCACATTGTGGAGCAGCAGGGACGCGGCGCCGAGGAAGCGGCCGAGAACCGCAACTACCTGGCGGCCAGGATGAGCGACGAGCTGCAGGAGATCATACGGGTGCTGCAGCTGACCACCTACGACGAGGACACCAGCGAGCTGGACAACCTCACCGTGCTGAAGAAGCTCTCCAATGCCATCTCCAACAAGATGGAGCTGGCCAACGAGTGGCTCTCGAATCCCTACGCCCTGCGCGGCGGCGTGGGCGAGAAGGCGCTGCGCCAGGTGATCGACAATGCCGCGGAGATCTCAGAGCGCTGTCTGCCCCAGGACTCGTATCCCATCCGCAAGCTGGCGGACGAGGTGACGGCCATGGCCAACACGTTGTGCGAGCTGCGGCAGGAGGGCAAGGGTCAGAGTCCGCAGGCCGAGTCGCTGGCCCGCGGCATCCGCGACCGGCTGGGCCAGCTGCAGTCGCTGGTCCACCAGGCGGTCCTGGGCGTGGACAAGGCTGGGGTCCAGCAGACGGCCCACACCATCCAGGGTCGCCTGGAGCAGGCCGTCAAGTGGCTGCAGCACCCGGAGATCAACGACGGCGGCCTGGGCGAGCGGGCCATCAACCTGATCGTGGATGAGGGCCGCAAGGTGGCCGAGGGCTGTCCGGGCCACCAGAAGGCCGAGATCCAGCAGCTGTGCGACGAGGTGGAGCGGCTTAAGCGCCAGGCGGCCGGATCCGGGCCGGCGGCCAAGCAGGCGGCCAAGCAGCTCACCCAGAAGCTCTACGAGCTGAAGGCGGCCATCCAGAATGCCCTGGTCAACCGCATTGTGCAGGACTTCATGGACGTGAGCACGCCGCTGAAGCAGTTCACGGAGGCGGTGCTCCAGCCGGAGGGCACGCCCGGTCGCGAGCAGAACTTCAATCAGAAGTCCAACAATCTGCAGGCCTTCAGCGACCGCGCCTCGAAGACCTCGCGTATGGTGGCCGCCGGTGGGGCCTGCGGCAACAAGAAGATCGCCGAGATCCTGCTCTCCTCCGCCGCCCAGGTGGACTCGCTGACGCCCCAGCTGATCAGCGCCGGGCGTATCCGGATGAACTACCCGGGCAGCAAGGCGGCCGACGAGCACCTGCAGAACCTCAAGCAGCAGTACGCGGACACGGTGCTGCGCATGCGCACCCTCTGCGACCAGGCCACCGACCCGGCCGACTTCATCAAGACCTCCGAGGAGCACATGCAGGTCTATGCCAAGCTCTGTGAGGATGCCATCCACGGCCGGCAGCCGCAGAAGATGGTGGACAACACCTCGAACATCGCCCGCCTGATCAACCGGGTGCTGCTGGTGGCCAAGCAGGAGGCGGACAACTCGGAGGACCCCGTCTTCACGGAGCGCCTCAATGCGGCCGCCAATCGGCTGGAGCGGTCGCTGCCCGCCATGGTGGGCGATGCCAAGCTGGTGGCCACCAACATTGCCGATCCGGCGGCGGCCGCCGCCTGGAAGAACTCCTTCCAGCGGCTCCTCGGCGATGTGCGCGAGGTGCGGGAGGCGATTGCCCCGCCGCAGCCGCCGCCGCTGCCCACCTCCCTGCCGCCACCCATTCCGGAGCTGAGTGCCCTGCATCTGTCCAACCAGAATGGTGAGTTGAACCCATGCTGCACTGCCCTCGATGGCTGGTATTTGGATAACAGTATTAGCCTAAAAAAACCACGAAAATTGGTCGAAGATAGGAAAGCTTTTTAAATAACGTTTTTAAATTGAAATCATTTAGGTTTAAGTTTTGCAATCACTAGAAAACATAAAGTTAGTAATTCATTTTCCTCAATGGATGGTCGAGATAGGAAATTTATGGGATCTTTTCTACTTTCTTGTACTTAGATTAGGTTTACATATATATATTTTCTTTTCTAGTTTTCTTCATCGAAATGTAACAAATTGTAAGACATATTTTTTAAATTCAATAATCATTAAAACTGTCAGGGAACAATTTTATCCTTGCTAGAATGGTTTCAAATTAAATGCTGAAATTCTAAAATGTTTGAAGCAAAATCAAAATCGGTAGAAATTCAGTTGAGTTATGATCAAAAATTCCTATTTTATTTATAAAGTAACTCAATCGTTGTCAATACTTCAAATATACATAGATAAAGGGGTTTTTAAAAATCCTGAAAAATTAGATACCCACTTAGTGTGCTTAATTTGTATATTAATATTCTTAATCGTTGTCAATGCTCTATTTTATTTTGCTGCCCAGCTGAGCGTGCGCCACCACGTCCTCCACTGCCCAGGGAGGGATTGGCGCCAGTGCGTCCGCCGCCGCCGGAGACGGATGACGAGGACGAGGGCGTCTTCCGCACGATGCCGCATGCCAATCAGCCGATCCTGGTGAGCTTCATGACTTTAATGCATTCGTGCTGAATGGTTTTCTAACCCCCCTTGCCTTTACAGATCGCCGCTCGTGGCCTGCACCAGGAGGTGCGCCAGTGGTCGTCCAAGGACAACGAGATCATCGCGGCCGCCAAGCGCATGGCCATCCTGATGGCCCGCCTCAGCGAGCTGGTGCTCTCCGACTCGCGGGGCAGCAAACGGGAGCTGATCGCCACCGCCAAGAAGATCGCCGAGGCCTCCGAGGACGTGACGCGGCTGGCCAAGGAGCTGGCCCGCCAGTGCACGGACCGCCGCATCCGCACCAACCTGCTGCAGGTGTGCGAGCGCATCCCCACCATCGGCACCCAGCTGAAGATCCTGTCCACCGTGAAGGCCACCATGCTGGGTGCCCAGGGATCCGACGAGGATCGCGAGGCCACCGAGATGCTGGTGGGCAATGCCCAGAACCTCATGCAGAGCGTAAGTTAAAGTCTTTTATGTTCAATATTCAATAGGGCGATCTAAGAACATTGTTAAATGTAGAAGCTTGATATAATGTGCAACAGTGGTAAAAAAACGTAGTAAATCAAAGTATTTCATACTAAGTTTAAATATTTTTGAAATAGATTTTAGATAAAATTTATATCGAAATTTTCAATATAATGATTTTAAATGAATAGGGATTCATTTCCAATAGAATATTTTCCACATAAAATAAATAAAAATTTAAAAATTTAACAATGCCATTTAGTGTAAAGTGTATCTAATATTATGATGTCATGTTCAATTTCAATTTGAAGTATAACATTATTTTATAAGTTACTACAGTTACTACAAAAGTTATCGCTCATATTCGACAGGTGAAATAGATATTTTATATAAAATATAGGTTTTCATATAAACCAAAACATAAATAGGATCATTTTGATTTTTAACTTTACATATAGAAATTTCCTATCTAATCCCCTCTCTTTTCATTCGATTTCACAGGTGAAGGAGACGGTGCGCGCCGCCGAGGGAGCTAGCATCAAGATCCGATCGGACCAGACCAGCAATCGGCTGCAGTGGGTCCGCCGGCAACCCTGGTACCAGTACTAGGTGACTGGACGCAGTACTAGATTATGGAGAAGTGCTGGGGGCTGGGGCAAGGCCATCTGTTCCGACCACCCACCCATATGCTCCAAATGCCACCTGCCACGTGCCTTGTGTAACATACATAAAGCTAAACTCTAATCTTAATGATTTCTATTTTAAATGTTAATCCCCTAATATGTTCCATCTAAAATTCAGTTATGTAAGTGCCTGCCTGCAATTATATTTATTATGTGCTCCAAAAAAAAACTTATGCTCATGTCCCGCCCCATTCTGTTCCCTTTTCCGTTCTCCTACTCTAATTTTGTTTCGATATTTGTAAAATTAATTATTAAGCGTGCAATAAAAACAAAAAAGAGAAAAACCATGAAAAAAAGGATAGAGAAGAAAGAAACTGGAAAGCAATATGTACATACAAGCAAAGCAGTCTGATTTAAGCGAATGCAATGTATATAATAAGTGACCGACCATATGCAGTGGGCTAACGCTTCGATTTTTGATTTTAAATCACCACCTCCTTCGTATTTGTAGTGTACTAACAGAAGCATTTATCGAACCCCTCGTTAAACGTTAAAGTCCAATTATTGTTCGAAATCTAACTCACTAAAACTGCGAATACACCTGTTGTCGAATGTGTTGAGCCCAAACATGTAACCCAATTACGATGTGTGTCATGTTCAAAATATAATTGAAATAAAACAGAATATCGTGTGTTAATTGATGGATTGGCGGCTTGTCAAATATTGGTTTTTATATATCTATCTAGTTTTTGTTTTTTTTTGCTTATGTTTGCGTATACGTAATGCTGTTTGTTAAAGTACCCTCAAAAGTATGCACAATTTTTTTTTACTTTTTTAATAACTTATGGCATGTACGGTATGTAGGTTTTAAAGAAACTAAAGCATGCTTCTAGGCGTACTATGCTAAAACGTACAACGCATGCCAAAATGCCCTTTGTGTACATTAAGTATACGCAAAGTGGCTTGTTAACGATTGTCAAATTCATTAAATTAAAAAAGGAAGGTATTTGGTATTTGTTCGAAACGCATATTTCTAACAAATAAATTATATAATTTATCAATTTATATTATTTAAAATTTACCTTAGTGACATAAATTGAAATAATAATATACGAAAATGCACAAATTTAATTGGCTAATATATACTTTGGAACACGAAACTATTTGTTATCAAGGTTAACTAAGACCAAAATTATTTAAAGAATACCTAAGTGGTATAAGAGATAGATCTAAATTGGACTAATATTAAATACACTTAATTCAAATTTACCTGAGTAATTATTTTAGATAGTGATATAAAATATAAAAAAATTATTTTGTACAAGATTAAGTCTTAAACGTTCTCCATCAGCGGGTTAACGCCAATGCCAATAAAAGGCTTGTGTTTATATCTCGACGGCCCCATATCCGCCAGCTGTGCCTGTCCAGCGAGCAGTCGGGAAATCCGAGAGCCCCATCTATAATGAGACTATAATTAGCTGGGACTCCGAGAAAAGCGATGAAAAGCGAGAAAACTCGCACGATCGGAGAGTTTCCGCTGCGGCGGCGGTCAGTTGCGTTTCGTTAATCGGCGAAATCGAGAGCGAGGAGAGTTGCTGCCCTTAGAACAGCCGTCGTCGATATGTCCAATTGTCCATCTGTTCCGCAGGAGAAGGAGGTGGAGCTGGAGGTGGAGGAGGAGGAGGAGGAGTCGCCGCGATCCTCGAAGCCATCCAGCCAGATGAGCATCAGTTCCTCCACGCAGGAGTTGGCCGAGCTGATTGACCTGCACCTGGGCGAACTGCGGCCCAAGGATCCCGCCTGGCGGGTGGCCGACTCGCCCATTTCTGGCAGGGGCATCTTCGCCAACCGGGACATAGCCGCCGGCGAGGAGCTCTTCCGGGAGCACACGCTGCTGGTGGGTCCGACGGCGCATCGGTCCACGAATCTGCGCACCTGTACGCTCTGCTACCGGCTGATTCCGGGATCCACGGACCCGGAGGTCATCTGTCCGGCCGGATGTGGCCTGCCGGTGTGCTCCGACTGCCGGACATCCCCGCGCCATGACCTCGAGTGCAAGCTCTTCCGCAAATGGCGGCCCCTGGAGAGCCAGCGCATTGAACCGCGCGCCCTGAGGATTCTCAGTGTGGTGCGATGCTTCTTCCTGGACGAGCCCGCCCGAAAATTGCTGTATGCCATGCAGGCCAACATGGATCGGTACTACATGCAGGAGGTGCAACGGGCGGCCGACTGCTTTGAGCACTTTCCGCGGGAGCAGGACATGCTGGACTACTTTTACCGCACCATCTGCGCCTTCAACACGAACGCCTTCGAGAGCCGGAGCAGCGTGGACGGGCACGAGGTGCTGGTGCGGGCCCTCTTCCCGCTGGCCGGACTGCTCAACCACCAGTGCACCCCGAATGCGGCGCACCACTTCGAGAATGGGGAGACCATTGTGGTGTGCGCCACCGAACGGATTCCAGCCGGTGGCGAGATCACCATGTCCTATGCAAAATTGCTCTGGTCGACGCTGGCCAGGAAGATATTCCTCGGCATGACCAAGCACTTCATGTGCAAGTGCGTTCGCTGCCAGGATCCCACGGTGAGTGCTGGCCCATTATTGGGCCCCTGATTATTCGATTTGTTCGGATTTCTCTGCTTTGCGAATGGGGCGAACTGCAGCCCAAAAATGGGAGCATGTGAGTGTCGCAATCGCCGAGCAGTGCCTCAAAAATAGCTTCATCGGCGGGGCCGTAAAAATGTCACATCACAGGGGCGTACGCAGAGGGGTTTATTTTTGGCCTAGCAAGTGGAGTTTCCCGGTAGCTCCTGCAAAATTTCACAAGAAACGTATGTATTTAGACTCCGCAGCTGGCCGAAGGTCCGAGCAGTTCTTGGGCCTGAAGAAGTCAAGATGGATCGCCAGATGATCCTCAGAACAGGCCACAAGAAGGAGCGGCCTGCTGTGAGTAGTATCTTTTGTTCCAGTTCCAGTTCCAGTTCCCCAGAAACTCTATCTATTCTCAAGAAAAGCTCACATAAGAGTTATCGGGATTATTGATTCCTGGAGGAAAGACATACAAATGCATGACACCACATACAAGTTTTTGAAAAATTTCATATTTTAAAAAGTTTCCAATTTGCCCAGTGACAACTTGTTAAATTGCAAATGCCTAAAATGCAATGTGCGGCACACACCATCTGAATTATTTCCCCATAATAAAGTATCCAATACCTTTTATCGTCGCAAATGAAGGCGTCCCAGTCAGTTCAAGTACTCACATACAACATCACATTCCATTACACATTTATTCGAATCCGAATTCGGGCGCTGTCAAAGATCGCGCATTCTTTGCAATACCCCATTGACCCAGTCGCACATCAAATCCACATTCATTTTAATTCCATTTCTTTTCGTTTTCACTTGCTTTGTGCTCCTTTAAATATAAAATTTGCGCACAAATTCTACAGATCTAAAACGGAAGACCCAGAAAACAGCCGACAATGAAAAACAATTTAAAATTTGTTGAGAATTTTGGTTCGCATACTCTTTTCTATTTTAGTGACTATTTTAGGCACTAATCGGGGAAATGAAATCGGTTTTAATAAACACTCATTCTCTTGTATGTTCCTCTTGTTTCGGCTAAGTTTAAACAAAAAATACTTTTAAAATGTTATCAAATGTTGGAATATCATACATCGTTGGTTCGTCATTAAATTTTTATACAAATGGCATTCAGATCATCATTTTTTGCCAAAATTTGAAAACCTGGAAAAATTTTAGCTGTAAATGCCATTTGATTGGAAATTTTATGACGAATCCAACGATGCATGACACTCCAACTTCTGACAATTATTTCCCAGGCTTTTTATTCAAAAACTGATTTTTAAACGGTATTTTTGAGTTTTTGGCAAAATAAGAAAATAAAGCATTTCCTAAAAGTCTTTTTGTTGTAACTTGGCCAAAATAAGACGCATAGCCATAAAAGTGACTGTTTTTTACAGTTGGTGACCTATAAAATCCATCCCGATCGAAATACAAACAATTCAGTTTGTTTTGATATAAAAACACGATTTTTAAAGTCGTTTTTTTTTAAAAATGGCCAATTTTCGCATTTTTGATAAGGGGGTACATCATCATTTTTTGCCAAAATTTGAAAACCGGGAAAAATTTTAGCTGTGAATGCCATTTGATTGGAAATTTTATGACGAATCCAACGATGCATGACACTCCAACTTCTGACAATTATTTCCCAGGCTTTTTATTCAAAAACTGATTTTTAAACGGTATTTTTGGGTTTTTGGGAAAATAAGAAAATAAAGCATTTCCTGAAAGTCTTTTTGTTGTAACTTGGCCAAAATAAGACGCATAGCCATAAAAGTGACTGTTTTTTACAGCTGGTGACCTATAAAATCCATCCCGATCGAAATACAAACAATTCAGTTTGTTTTGATATAAAAACACGATTTTTGAAGTCGTTTTTTTAAAAATGGCCAATTTTCGCATTTTTGATAAGGGGGTACATCATCATTTTTTGCCAAAATTTGAAAACCTGGAAAAATTTTAGCTGTGAATGCCATTTGATTGGAAATTTTATGACGAATCCAACGATGCATGACACTCCAACTTCTGACAATTATTTCCCAGGCTTTTTATTCAAAAACTGATTTTTAAACGGTATTTTTGGGTTTTTGGCAAAATAAGAAAATAAAGCATTTCCTAAAAGTCTTTTTGTTGTAACTTGGCCAAAATAAGACGCATAGCCATAAAAGTGACTGTTTTTTACAGCTGGTGACCTATAAAATCCATCCCGATCGAAATACAAACAATTCAGTTTGTTTTTATATAAAAACACGATTTTTAAAGTCGTTTTTTTTTAAAAATGGCCAATTTTCGCATTTTTGATAAGGGGGTACATCATCATTTTTTGCCAAAATTTGAAAACCGGGAAAAATTTTAGCTGTGAATGCCATTTGATTGGAAATTTTATGACGAATCCAACGATGCATGACACTCCAACTTCTGACAATTATTTCCCAGGCTTTTTATTCAAAAACTGATTTTTAAACGGTATTTTTGGGTTTTTGGCAAAATAAGAAAATAAAGCATTTCCTAAAAGTCTTTTTGTTGTAACTTGGCCAAAATAAGACGCATAGCCATAAAAGTGACTGTTTTTTACAGCTGGTGACCTATAAAATCCATCCCGATCGAAATACAAACAATTCAGTTTGTTTTGATATAAAAATACGATTTTTAAAGTTGTTTTTTTTTTAAATGGCCAATTTTCGCACCCCTAATAAAAATGCGAAAATTGGACATTTATAAAATACCATTTATTTTAATACCCTTTAAAAATGCCAAATATTAAAAAAAATTGTTATTTTGAATAAAGAAGAAGGAACTTTCAAATTATACCCTATTATTTTTTGATATTCGGCATTCAAGTCAATTCGTTTTATTTAATTCCGTTTATTTTGTCTTCCGTTCGATTGAGGCCAATAAAATGCACGTAAAAAGCGAAAATAGATTTTAAATGGAGGCAAACTATAAAGTTGCTTAATGGCGCGGGGAAGAAAAAGCGAGAGTCGTAAAACTTTACAACTGATTTACGTATGTCCGCAGAGGATGGGGCGTGGTATAGAAGGACAGGACAGGACACGACAGGACGAACCCACTCCACGCCAGGACATGTGACAATGCGTGACAGTCGCAGCGGAAAGTGAACAGGTGGGGAGTGAATCCTGGTCCCACTCCCCATTTTCCACCCCTCCCCACCTTGTCACGTGTCGTTGGCTGGTGTCCCTGTGCCATTTGCCCCTGAAACACGCAACTCCTTGGCCGGCGGTGTCTTAATTTATGTCCCGACCACACGCACTGCCACACACAGTGGAAACCGGTAGAGAGTGGGCTGCACTGCCATCAAAAAATGCCAATTCCCCATTACACTATACTCAATGGTGTTTCACTTATACTATTTCTATTGTTTTTGGCTTAAAAATAATATTTTTAACGAACTCTATTTGTGAATTTTAAGTCGGATTAAAAATATATTTTTGAAGAATCTCAAACTGGTCCACTTTATAAGCTTTCTTTGGTTAAATTTTCTAAATTAAAAAAAAACATTTTGCGTAATATTTACTTATTAATTATTAATAATAAACTAGAAATCCTTTGACCGGAATATCAGTTATTTCTTAAAAGTATAAATTATCAATATATCAAAATTAAAATACACATTTTTGGGATTATTTGTAAAATTGAAGTGATGGCAATAGTTTTTACAAAATCTAGAAATCCATTACCCCATAAAACCAAAAAAAAAATTTCTACAAATTTCAAAAATTGTAAGGATTTCTAAATTTAATGTTGTAATGCAATGTTTTTAAAATACCTTCAGTTTTTGGGTCATTTTAAGGGACTCGAATATGTTGCATAAATGATTTTTATCAGTGTACAAGCGTGGGAGACAAAAACGCCTGGTATCAGTGGCGTTGCGTCTCCGCAAATAATTTTTCCAGCTGCTCAGATTGCCACAGGGTGGCGCCGAAAGAAATCAGATGGGTATGGGTATGGGCATGGGGATGGTGATGGGTTACGGGTTACGGGTTACGGGTGGTGCTACTATGGCTTCACTTTATGGCATTCATAACCAACCGCCAGCAGGCAGAGAAGGGGGAGGAGGAGGTCAAGGAGGATAAGGTAGGCAAGCTGAGGTGTTTGGCGAACAAATTGACAGCGGGAAATGCTCATTGATGGCTGATGGCTGCATCAATGCTCTTTCTTTTGCGGCCAATCACCACCTACTGGCGAATCCAATTGAATGCAACAATGGCAACCACAGCGGCGGCAACAACAACAGCACAACCACAACCACACAACAACAACAACAACAGCTCAAGCACAAATTGAATAAGAGTCAAAAGCAAAATCCGCTTTGCGTCGTCCCAGCCAAATGTCTCTATTTCCCAGTGGAGCACTCCAAGTCTCTCGAAGTTCCCAGTTTCGGAATCGTTTCGAAATTGGTAATTCAAAATGTCAAACATTTTCCTACCTTATTATTTCAACTTATTTCAAATTATATAATAATAATTTTTTTTTTAATTTCAATATTTATTTTGTTTTTTCTTTTTCAATTTTCTAAAAATTTTTTTTTTTGGAAGAATTGTTTTAGAAAGATTTTAAACAAAATTATTATTTCATAATGTCTTCAGTTTCCCAAATAACATTATTTTTGTTTTGGAAGTAGCATATACTTTAAGTTTATGAAATTTGATTTAGTGCTTTACTTTGCTAGTTTGCAATGATCTTTGCTTTAGAAGAAATGGTTGTTTATTACGAAGTTGGGTAAAATTACTTACTTACCCTATAACTTATCCATTGAATGGTTTTAGATGTAATACATAATATTAATTTTAATATTTTATTGACTATTTTATTGTTTTTAATTCCTCTAAATCTTTTCTGCAAATGTTTTGGTTTGATTTCGAAATTGGGAACAGGCCGGCGAGTGTTTGTTTTCAGTGTGCGTGTGCCTTGGAAAAAATCATATTTGACTGTTGTCGTTGTCGTGGTGCCCCCCAATTCCCGGTCCCTGCCCCCCTCGTCCCCTCGCCCGCCTGCCCTGACTGCCTCTAATTTGTGTTTTTTTTTATTTTTTTAGTTGTGTCTAATGCTCTCCGAGGGCGTCGGCGTGTCCACGTCATAAGCGTCGCTGCTTTGGTGGGTTTGTTCCACTGTCAGCAGTCAGTTGTTGCTGTTGCGCGGGGTGTTGCTGTTGTGCCGCGTGTTGCTGTTGCTGCTGTTGCTGCTGCTGCTCATGTTGCTGCTGCTGTCGTCGCTGTCGCCACATCGCAGCTATTCCCGCAGAGACCGCTCGGCTGCGCGGAGACATCTTCACTCGCTGAGTTGCCGCGCGTCGCGTTGGTTCGCCGTATCCGTATCCGTATCCGTATCCGTATCCGTACCCGTGACCGCTTCCGTCTACCCATTGCATTGGCCATGTCCAATCCAGATCCAGATCCCCCCTCCCCCCGGGGAGCAGGAGACACCACTCTGGCCGCCCTGGGTGCCCACATGGCGCCCTGTCGCAACACCACGCCGGAGCAGCTGGCCCAGCTGATAGATGCCCATTTGGGGGATCTGCGGCAGGAGCAGCCCAACTGGACCATCAGCTCCTCCAAGGTGGCTGGGCGCGGGGTGTTCGCCACCAGGGACATAGCCGCCGGCGAGCTGATCTTCCAGGAGCGGGCCCTGGTCACGGGGCCGACGGCCCGGAAGGGCCAGCTGAGCAGCTGCATCTGCTGCCACGAAACGCTGCCCCAGAAGGGCTTCCTGTGCCGCCACCGCTGCACCCTGCCCGTCTGCGAGTCCTGTGCGGATTCGGAGGAGCACCAGGCCGAGTGTGAGCACTTCCGCCGCTGGCAGCCCATGGACGCCGATGCGGAGGGGGAACAGGAGCAGGTGAATCCCCTCTCGCTGCGCATCCTCACGGCGGTGCGCGTCTTCCACCTGGGAAAGGAGCAGCGGCACCTGGTGGACGCCATGCAGGCCAATGCCGAGCGAGCCTACCGGCGCGAGATCATCAAGGCGGCGCAGTGCTTCCGCAACTTCCCCACCACGGACCGCGTGTTCATGGACCAGCTGTTCCGCATTGTGGGCGTGCTGAACACGAACGCCTTCGAGGCACCCTGCCGCACCGGCGGCCATGAGACGCTGCTGCGCGGCCTGTTCCCGCTGACGGCGATCATGAACCACGAGTGCACCCCCAATGCCAGCCACTACTTCGAGAACGGACGACTGGCGGTGGTGCGGGCCGCCAGGGACATTCCCCGGGGCGGCGAGATCACCACCACCTACACCAAGATCCTCTGGGGCAATCTCACCCGGAACATCTTCCTCAAGATGACCAAGCACTTTGCCTGCGACTGCGCCCGCTGCCACGACAACACTGTGAGTAGGGCGGTAGCCGTTGGGATTACCGGAAATCGGAGATTGTCCACGGGGTTTTGTTGAAGGACCAATCCTGTTCCATGCTTGATTGCTTCATCTTGCTGTTGAAAGGCTTTTATTCCATCTTATTAACCACATCAAAATTATAATTATATCTTATGATCTCCAAAATATGCTTGAACTTTCCATAAGACCTTAAATAATAATTCTAAGGTTTTAAACTTATTTTCATAGTCTTCATAATGGAACTTTATTTTAGAATTTACTCAATAATTAATTATCAAAACTCTTTCAAATTGCCTTACAATTTTACCTCATTACTGATATACATGTTCAGTTGTACCTTCAATGGGACCTTAAATAACAATCCAAAGGTTCTTTGGTTATTTACATTATTCTTCATAATGAAATCTCTATTTTTGACTTTTTGTTTATATCATTATCTTTGAAATTACTGAATAACTAATTTTCGAAGCTATTTACATAAGTTAACCTCTTTACTGATATTAAATGGAACCGTAAATTACAATCCAAAGGTTCTTAAATTATTTTCATTACTTTTCATAATGGAACTCTTTTTTAAGAACTTATTCAATAAATAAGCGCTTCATAGATATTTTCAGTAATATCACTACTTTGACCTCGATTACCAACTTATCCTAGAATAAAGCTGTTTGCTGATATATTCAGCAAGAGCTTTGATGGGCTCTACATTTTGAATTCTATATTTACTGAATAACGTTCTCACTAAATATTTTTAGTAAAAGCTTTAGTTGGATTTAATTATACATTATTGCTGATGACTTGACTGAGTTCGTTTCGAAAAGTTTTAATGGAGCGTGAAGAGTGTTTTGTTTTGTTTCTAGATTTTCTTTTCCGTTCGCATTGTTAAAATTTAAATGAAAAGTCTTCAGTTCTAAGAGAACTTTTCCCCTTTCCCCATGAAACTTGAATTCCTTTTTTACTTATGTGTATCCGCTAGATACACAACTCCATGCCGAGCAAATGAAAACCTGCCGTGAGACTCTCGCAATCTGTTGGCCCCAAAACAAGAAACAATTATTGAAATTTTGAAAAACATTTCACTTGAATTTCAACGAAATTTCTTGGCCAACTTTTGTCGATGTCAACGGCGCTCTTCGACTGCGGGTGTGTAGGGCTGTGTGTATGACAGTATAGTGTATATACTACATACTATATACGATCCGCATATCCGGCCATATCTATTTATGTGGCCGCTCTTCTGCCGCTCTGGGATGAGTTGAATAATGGTCTTTTAGCGTCGCCAGTGGTCGTTGGCCAGGCCACCTGACACAAATGCGTTCCCTAATTAAATTAGTTATATGATTTGCATCAACCAGGGACCAGGGCCCAGGGGCGCACACAAAAGGGGGGCGAAAGGGGGCCCACTAAGTGGCTAAAAGTCAGGGGAAAAAAATATGGAAAATGGTACCAAACACACACTCTTTTGGCTGGTTTTAATGTGGTTTTTGGATAGTGTCTAAGCTTCACCTCTTATTAACGAAAGTTGAAGGGAAAATTATAAGGAGTGGATTTGTACAATTGCAATTACTCTTTTATTATTCATTAGGTACATATACCCTTCTATATATTTTCCTCACCTATTCCAAGACTTGGCATAAAAATATATATATTACTAAAGATTTAAGTTTCCTTTTACTTTTTCAAACCATATATTAACAAAGTTAACTTGTTGTTTAATAATGTTCCAGTTTTTAGTATATAAGGAACTAAATGCTATTACCAAACCATATACAAAGAATCCGATTTGAGTGCTTTTAATAAAGGGGGCAAGCAATGTTCCCAGGTTCTACTAACACACATCCCCTTGAAAATTCCCGTGAGCATGACACAGCGAATGCTAATTCCAATTTGAATTTCAATTTGAATTTCGTTTTCGATTCCGATTTGAAGTGGAATGAACTGAACGCCGTGAATTGAGTTGCCTTTCTCCAAATACTCCAAATTCGACGGATTCTCCCGATTCTACTGATCCGTTGTGTCTATTTTTGCAGGAGAACGGAACCTATTTGTCGGCGCTTTTCTGCCGGGAACAGGGCTGCCGTGGCCTGGTGATTCCTGTCCAGACCCGCACTTTGCAGCCCGACTGGCGGTGCATCACCTGCGAGAACGTCTTCCCGCACGCGAAGATGGCCAAGTACCAGGACTTCGCGCTGAACACCATCAACAACCGGATAAACTCGTGCAGCGTCCAGGACATGATCCACTTCATCAACGAGCTGTGTCCGCGCTTCTGTCCGTCCTCCAACTACGTGCTGATCGAGGCCAAGTTGAACGTGATCTGGCGGATGACGCGGTTCGACCGCGAGGAGTACTCGCCGGAAGAGATGGGCCACATGGATCGCTACCGCGAGGAGGTCCTGGCCATACTCCACAAACTGGGCGCCGGGGAGTGCACCCTGAAGAAGCTGATCACCGGGGAGATCCAGTGAAGGATCTCCTCCCGAAAAATGTGAATAACGTTGTTTTTTTTTTGTTTCTGTGTGAATGAGTGAGTGTTTTTTTTTTTTGAGATGGTACGTGAGTGCTTTTGGGGCACCTTTGGCGCCCCCTTGTTGCTATTTTATTCGTAATCACTTAAGAAACCAAATAAACACCGAACTATGACTCGTTATTCAAGCCTTTTTTTTGCATTCGCGTCACAAGACCCCTTCTTGGAAACGCCACTGGTCCACTTAGCCAATAAATGTGAGGAGCCAACCAGCCACAAAGATCGCCGGCCTGCGATTGACCAACAAGTTGAAAATTGCTACGATACAAATTCTGGGCTCTCATTTGTTTTTGAAATTATTTTGGCTAGCAATCTCTTGTCGAGAGCCTGAACATTATCTATATTGCAAATGATATGCAAGCACATAAACAAGCGCTGCAAAAATACATCTAATATTTACTATCTTGATCCAGAGATCTTAAAATTTGTATTTTAAAATCTTTTTTCTGCATTCAACTAAGGCACAAATCTTATGAAAGTGTTGTCTATGCTGTAATGTTAATGTAATGCAGCCTTTTTAAAAACCTGCCTTGACTTACCTCTACTTAGTTACTTTTACTTGTCTCATTTCTTGGTTTTTATACCCACATGTGGATTTAAGTAAATCGATTCTGGTTTCTTGTTGTTGTTGTACAAAAGCTTTCTTTAATGGCGTATACACAGACAGACACACGCACACAGGCATACAGTTATAATAGAATAACAATAATTTCTCTAGTACAGTTTGTGTATGGATTTACGTACATATAGGTGTATACATTTGCATGCATTTGCAATGGAGGTTTTCATGGGAATGGAGTTTCGGGTCAGGGTTCAGGGGTTCAGAGCTCATGGGTCAGGGGTCAGGGGTAGTTGCCTATACATAAATAATCGGATATGCTCTAGCTATGGCATACACACATGCATACAAGTCTTAATCTAACCAAGTGTCGTGTGCATCAGTATATGTCTAGATTTATAGTTACAATAGAAAAAAAAATAAAAAAAAATATGAATAAACGCACACAAGGAGGGGGTGTATGATGAAGTGGGTTGACTAACTTAGGGCTAGGTGCTCCGTGTGGTGCTTCTGTTCCGACCTCCGTGCCTGAAGTCGCTGCAGCGGCGGAATGGCGAACATCACCACTCCGCTGACGGCGATCATTAGTCCCGCCATCAGGAAGGCCGGCGCATACGAGTCCGTCAGATCGTACATCCAACCTGTGCAGGAAAAGTCAAAGATGTAGTGCATCCATGTAATCAATTGCCTCACTGCTTGACACCTTATTAAGTTTAGTTAGGAGACAATAAATATTCAAAATATCACAAGTTTAGATAAATATAAAATTATGATAAATTTATTTTTATATTTAATTTAAAATGTTTAAATTAAAATATAACATTTGAGATATCAAAATCTATTCCAAAAATAATCAAATGAAGTACCGAAATAAGTTTCATATTTCCATATTTAAAACAACTAAAACTAAGCTAAAATCAAAGTGATATATACTTGGATTTACTAATTTTTTTTATACTTTTTTATCTTTGATTCTATTAAGACCTAGTCCTTTAATAGCAAATTGAAACTAATTGTTTTGGCACTATTTAATAAGTGATCAAGAGTGAGGGTAAACAAATAATTAAGTAAATTGTAATTGGTCACACGGTCGTGCAAACGTAAAACTAGAACCTTGTAAAGGCACTCACCTCCGATGGGCGGACCAATAAAGCTGGCGATGCCCTGGAAAAGCAGCAGCAGGCCGAAGGCATTGGTCAGCTTGTCCAGTCCCAGCAGATCCACAAGGATGACCGAGGTGAGACCGACGTAGGCACCGATCGTGAAGCCGAAGACGATGCAGTAAACGGCCAGCGATTTGTAGTCATGGCACAGCGGCACCATGGCAGTGGCTAATCAAACGGAAGGCCAATACAGGATTAGAGTCATTGCCTGGAGTAGTTACACCACATCCACATCCACATCCACATCCACAACCACAGCCACAACACCCCATACTCACACACTCCGCAGGCGGTGAGGCAGACGTTGTAGACCAGCAGGCGGTTGACCCACGGCTTGTCCGATATGTAGCCCAGGATTATGCGGCCCAACGTGTTGGCCCCGCCAATGATGGCGATCAGGTAGCTGGCATCCGTCTTGGAAATGCCCAGGGTGTCCGCGTAGGCGGCCACGTAGAGGTACGGAACGTTGAAGCCGATGCTCGTGCAGAAATTGGACACGGAGAAGATCACGAAAATCACATCCTTGAGCAGCGAGAAGTTCATCATCTCGGCGAACGTGTCGCGGGTCTCCTTGGAGCAAGTGATGCAGCCACAGCATTTGGTCTCCTCCTGAAAGGCGGAAAGTGGGTCATGAGAAGATCTTTCTGGAAAATACAATCGCTTGTACTTAGCTTATAATAGCCATACTTATTATAAACAGTAATTATAAACTTATGTTTCTTAAAGAACAGATACCATTAAACCCTCATCCCGAAATTAATTAGTTACGCATCTGAATATGTATCACTAAGTAGTCAAAGCTAGGAATAATTTAACGGAATGTAACCCTAAAAAAGTCACGATAATAATGTTAAGATTCAAGCACAATAAAAGCCCAAGTAGCTAAGGCTGCTATCTCTGTAACCCTAGTTTATAATTACAGTCTGTAAATATCTGAAAAAAGCCAGTCCCAATTATTACATAAAAATATAGTATATATAGTTAGTTATAGTTTACCAACTTAAAGTGTTTCAGTTGAGGGGTTGAGCCTGTGAAAGACTTTGAGATCACCCCAATGCATGTTTGCGTCTTGACCAAGACTCCCCAATGCATTTGAGTCCGAAATTAGAATAGTTATTGGTTAGAGTTCACATTGCTTGCAATGAGAATACCTAATAAAAACTAAATGTATTATTTAATGTTCATTCATCGAACATCTGTACAAAAATAATCCCAACTACTCAAGGTACTCCAGTTGAGATTTTGAGATTTCTCTTGTCAGAGACTTCAGGGTCACTTAATGCAATGTAATTTGCGGTCATTGTCCTTAAGGTCTTAACGTCGACGACTATGGCAACCCAGGCCGAAATTAGCATGGAAATGTAACGGTGCGTCTGCGGCTCATGTTAATCAAATAACGGCGTTAATTATTATGCGTGAAGCCAAACCACTGGCTGGGTTAAGGCGCATGACCGCCGGAGTCGGGTGCCAGTGCTCAGTGGGCTCTGGTCGGCGGCGATTCACGAGATCGATGGAGGAGTTCTTCGAGGACAGCGAGATATTCGTGACGGGGGGATCGGGTGTGGTGGGCAAGGCGCTGATCGAGAAGCTGCTGCGCTCCTGTAACGTGCGTCGCATCTATGTCCTGCTGCGGCCGCGCAGGCAAATGACGGCGGACCAGAGGCTCCTCCGTCTACGCCAGGCCACCGTCTTCCATGTGCTGGTCGCCGAGAAGCCGCAGGAGCTGGACAAAGTGGTGGCCGTGCCTGGAGACGTCTCTCTGCCGGGACTGGGCATCGATCCAGCGATGCGGGAGCGCATGAGGGGCGTTTCCCTGGTCTACCACTGTGCCGCCACGGTGCGTTTCGATGAGCCACTCCGGGTTGCCCTGCGACTGAATGTCGGCGGCACCTTGGAGGCCCTCAAGTTTGCCGAGGGTCTGCCCAATCTGAGGGCCTTTGTCCATGTGTCAACTTTCTATAGTAATCCCTATTTGAAGCGGGTGGAGCCCAAGGTGGGTTGGTGGTTTTGTTTCCTAACTCTGTGACGCTAATTCATTCCTGCAGTACTACTCCTCGCCGATGGACTGGCGATTGTGCCTTCGTTTGCTGGAGGAAGTCGCCGACGATGGGATGCTCAATGCCCTCACAAGAAAGTAGTTTTTACTAGCATGTCTTCTTGGGCGATTCCATATAATGTTATATCGTTTACTCATGCCAGGCTGATCGTGGGCTTTCCCAACACGTACACGTTCACCAAAAACCTGGCAGAGTCCCTGGTAAACGACTACCGCCATCGCCTGCCGCTGATCGTGTACCGTCCGTCAATAGGTAATCAAGGGTACGTTCAGAAAACAAATTTTCTTAATTTTAGGGAGAAAAAACTTTAAGAATAATGACCTAAACAGGGCCTTAAAGATCATCCTATCATTTATATTTAGCAAAAAAAAAGAAGTATCAAGTTGATATTTACAGGTTACCAAGTACCTAAAACAAAACATTTTTGTAACAACATAAGAAAAAAATATTCTTAAAGAATTTTACTATTTCAAATGCTTGAAACTTGTTTTTGCGCCCAAAACTTTTGCTATTTTTCTCTCTGTAAAGTTAAGCAAATTTTTTTCTGGGTGTAGTGGTGCTTGTGTCCCAGATTTATAAGCCACCTTTCAGTTCTTTTTGCGGTCGACGATCCGTCGCCTGGTTTTTCCCCTTCCTTAATGGGCGCCATGGGGTTGTTCGCTTTGGTGGGCGCCGGCATCCTGAAGACCGTCTACCTAGGCAAGGACATCCGGCTGGACATCACGCCGCAGGACATCGGCATCAAGAGCATGCTGTGCTACACGAAGCGGGGATCGGAGATCTACCAGCGGGGTCCTCCGGACGAGCTGCCAGTCTACCTGTCCTCATCCTGCACCCATCTGCCGCACACCTTCACCCAGATCGCCGAGCAGATGGACACGTTGGACTTGTGGCGGGACGTGGCCTTCGAGAAGAACCTGATGATACCGGGATGCCACTACACGGACCGGAGGTGGATCTACCAGCTCCTGGTCTTCACCAAGCAGATCCTGCCCGCCGCGATAATTGATCTGCTGCTGCGGCTCTGCGGACAGAAGCCCGTTCTGATGAGTGCGGTCCGCAAGGCCTACCAAACGCTGGAGGTGATGCAGCCCTTCATGTTCAATAACTACGACAGTCCCGGAGTCACGGACATGAACTTGCTGTCCAAGGAGCACGCGGGGTGGGTGGGCAAGTTTCATTGCAAATTCAGTTTTATCCCAAACTCTATCAATTCCAGCACTCCGTTCAATTTGGATGCCTTCAATCATCCGGACATCCATGGCCTGGTGATCCAGTGCTGCGGCGAAATGCTATTCAGCATCCGAACGCACTTGCTTCGCGAAGATCCCAGCACCCTTAGGCGTTCCAAGATCATCTTAAGGACGTGAGTTTGAATTCTCCTGCTTAAACAATTGAAATCCGACAAGTAAACCCTTTCAGGAAGGTTATCCTCTACCGGTTGTTCCGCCTCTTCCTGCTCTACAAACTGATACGATGGCTCTGGACGAGCTATTCGTCGCAGCTCTTCTAAACTGCTCTTTCTTGATAATATTTTTTTTTGTAACAAGTGGCATTTAATTTTAAGTCAATTCGAAAATAGAAAACAATCTCCATACTTTGATCAGGTTGAATTGGATTTTAAGTCAAAGTCATAGTCATAGTTATAGTCAAATTACCCATCAAGTCAATCTCCAGATCTCGAGCAACAGTGCAAATATGGAAAATGTTGAGAATGCACGATTGCCATTCTGGAAGAGGATTCTTGAATCGATGCAGGGCCAGGGCCAACACCTCCGCCAGAGCCTCCGCCAGCGCCAGCGCCCCCGTCTGCGCCTGCGACCCACCTCTGTACTCATTTTCCTACTGAATTTCTGCTTTACCCTGGTGATGTTGGTCTATTTGGCCGTGATTTACGACGAGTACCAGCAGCGCACCATTGGATGTGTCGCCGTGGACGCCACCAGGAAGGGCTGGCTGAAAGCAATCCTCCTGGAGCTCTTTGACCACTTAAGGGACTACTCTGGCCGCAAGAAAGGATTGCTATTTTGTCCCAAGGCTGTTCCACATTATGACCCATGTGGTGTGCTCCCTTATCCTTTGACATGATTTTGTTCAGATCTCTAGATCCTGATCCACACTTTTTTTTTATATTTTACCAAAGCATTCCATCCCATGGAATAAAGCCTCTTTCGTTTCATCCCATTGGAGAAATACTGAAAATTGTATACAAACTTTGTTTAACAGCTAATCAGCCCATCTTTACCAATGGAAACTAATTACTACGTTTTTTTTGGAACACACTTGGTGAGTCTTATTATCAACCTTGTAAAATAAACTATGTTGTTTACTATTTCCAAATTATTTGGCATCAGCAGCTTATGGAAATTCAAATTTCATTTCGTTTTAACCACTTTTTTTGTATTCGCCGACATACATGAGTTGATCAGCCCTCAAAATGACTCCTTGATATCTTGGATCGTCATTATGTGACAAAAATTTTATCTATTTTTTTTGTATTTGTATAAGACCTCACTTCATTTAATTTATTTCTATCAACTCACCGTACTCTGTGACACATTGTTGCTCTGGCGGAGTGATCCGTACCGCTTGATCACCCCAGATCCGGACATGGAGCGGTTTAGATCGTTCCTGGAACTCACATAGTCGGGCAGGTTGTGCAGCGATCCCTGCAAACAATCCGCATACACTGGTTAATTGCCGAACTCACATCGCCTGGGTGACGGGCAGCTCACCTGATAGAGGGCATCTGGGCGGTACATGGTGCCACTGGCACTCCGCTCCCGATGGGCATCCCTCAGAGGAGTCAATTGCAGCTGGCTGTGGCACTTGCGGGCGATGTCGTCGTTGCTGGTGCTCTTCGCCACCGCCTGCGGTGGGGTCACCAAAGTGACTATCTGCCCATTGACGGCGCCATTCAAATTGTTATTCTGTTGGTCAATAGAAATGAAAACATCAATACACTATGTTGCAAATTATGAGTTAAGTTCGAGTTGTCGTCCTGTATTCAATATAAATTAAAATGTTAATGCACTTAGTTCAATAGAAATTAAAACATAAATACACTATACTGCAAAGCATGAGTTTTGATAGAGTTAAATATGTTTTTGCCAAATGTTTATTAAAGTAAATACATGTGTAAATACAAAGTATAAAAATAAAATTTGATTAAAATATAATCTTCAAACTAATAGTTTCTCAATTTGGTTTATTTTCTACACTTTTCCATCACTAAGATAAATGATATTATTTTACAAATGCAGTGAAAGCATTATAACTTAAAGGTAACTATATAATTAAGCAAATAAATATAAATATAAATAAATAAATAAATACTCACCAAACTGGGCTTGAGGTTGTGCCCCACACTATTCGATCTGCAGAGGGCACCTCCTCCTCCGGAAATCGGAGTATCGGTGCGCTGGGGCAGCTGCAGGTACTGATCCTTCGGCAGGATCTTCAGGGGCTCCAGTTCCGCCGGCGTGGTGTTCTGGTCGATGATGGCCGACTTCTTGCCCAGCTTCGGTGTGCTGGGCGTGTTGGGCGGTGTGTTCTGTGGCGGTGCCTCCAGCTCCAGCGGCCGGAACATCGCCCCGAAGATGATGCAGTTGAGCACAATGCCACCGATGATCAGCATCGCTCCGCGCCACCCATAATTGCCGATCAGGTACTCCGTCAGCGGGGCAAATACGAAGGTGCCGAATCCGGAGCCGCAGACCGCGATTCCCGTGGCCAGGGACCTCCGGGCTTCGAAGTACTGCGTCACACTCACAATGGCCGGCAAATAGATGAGCCCGAAGCCCAGGCCCGTTCCAAACCCAATCGTGATGATCAGCGTGAGTACGTTCTGGGCAAACATGCTCACGATGATGCAGCTGGCGGCCAGGATGGCACCCGCTATGGTCACCGCTCGACAACCATATCGATTGACGAAGGACGAACTGATGGGTCCTGCAGGAATGAGATTACTAATTAAATCACGAAATACAACAACCCTTATGTAAGCTAGGCCCTGAATTCAAGATAATCTTGAGAGTGAAATCCATTTGTAATTTCATTCTTAACTTAAATATATATCTTCCCATAAATCAGTTCAATAAAATGATCAAAAAATGCACTAAAACTAAAGAGAAAAATGGTATTGTGTATTTACAGAGCACTGATAAATGTATGCTTTCAAAAGAGACAAAATTTCTACAATTTCAGGAAAGGATGTTGTGATACCCACCACAAAATTGTAAAGAATCCACTCACCTGAAGAGAAGGTCACGCCCACCATAATTGAGGCAATCCAGGCCGTGTAACCTTTGCCTTCGTTGAAATATTCCAGGAACTCATTGTAGAAGATGCCAAAGGAGTAGGTCATACCATCGGCTAAGGATGAGGAAAGATATGGGATTAGGTGCCACTATGAATGTGAATAAGACGCCTCAAAGTCGGCCATTTATTTCAAAAGCTGCGGGGCCCAAAGTGGAATTCGTTCGATCAAACTGGTTAGCGATCGCTCGGCTCCTTGACAGCCCATAAATCAGTTTAGTTGGGCAATTAATTACGGCTCCCAATTTTATCAGGATCCCCCACCAGTCTGCCAAATCCCCCGGCCCACCACATCGAGCGGCAACTATTTCCGTGGCATGGCAATTACAGCCTGAGCCGCGATAAGATTATCGGCACACACTTGGCCACAATTATCATCCAATTGATAGTTGTACGGCTCAAGTGGCGACTGTACTCCACCTCCACACTTCTCCTTCTCGTAAATCAGCAGCGCCATATCGGGTATCAGGGTATCAGTATCAGGGATCAGGGGACTGGACCTTGCCGATAAGTCCCCGAACCCAATCTATTCCGGCTGCACACTCTGATTTGCAGCGATTGGGCGATTAGTGCTTAAAGTATTTACGATCCCCGAAAATCCACAAAATAGCTACTAACTTGTATTCCCAATTCCTGACCACTTCGGTTGCCGGGTCAGTCCAAGGCTGATGGATTTGATTTACGGCAGTCGTAAAGGTGGCATGCCAAAGTTACCCAACACCAGTTTGTCAAGTCCTCCTCCGGCGTAAGCACCAATGGCACATTCATTTCAATAAGAAGACCCTTAATGAGTATAGAGTACATGTTCCTTCGGTCGGGAGACTAACTGCTGAGTTTCCCGTGGATAAAATGCCTATCTTTCTAAATATTTCTATTTATAGAGAGTATTTTAAAGCATTTCCATTTAAGGCTTTAATTCTATGGTAGACTAAAATAGACTATTCAACCTCCTTAATAATTTCCCTAAACGAGCTACAAATCTTTTTACAAACTGTCTATGATTTCTTATTGCTTTTAAGAAATTCTTTGATAATATAAATAAATTGTTTAATAAATGTTTCAATGCATTTCTAATAAGGATTTTAGTTCAAAAAGTGTCTTTAACACAAAACTCGTAGTGGCTTGAAACTAGAAAAAATTATAAGAAGCACTAGAATAGGCACTACTTCTTTTTACAGCCCTCTTCATAATTGCCTCAATCGAACAAAAAATGCTTTTACAATCTGTGTAGGCCCTTAATTCTTATTTTAAGGAATTCCCTGATATTAAATACGTGTAAATGTTTTACTTACTGACTATGTGTATCATGAAGGAGCCGAAGACCACCACCCATCCCCATCCGCCGTCCGGCGGAGTGGGCTGTCGCTCGAGATCCATTTCGCAGGGCTCATGCTGCTGCTGGGATTTTCTGCGTGCTGGCGGTCCGTGAACCATGTTTTTGGTATTGCCCTGGGCAATTGGTCAATTACTTATTGCTCCGGTTCCCGAATGAACCTTGACCCCTCCGGTTGCTGAATGCTGGGTGCTGGATGCTGCACCTGCTGCTACTGCTGATTATTCTCCCTAAAGCCTGAGGCTCATGTTGCGCCAACTGAAACGAAAACGATTGGGAATTGGGGGGCAATTAGAGGCTAGTCATATACATATGTCAGCTTTGAAATATTGAAAACACGTGATGAAGAGCATTTAGCTGTTGTGTTGTTAGTGTGTCTGCCCTGCTTATCAGCGAAGCTCTGCCAAAATACATTGAACCTGCTCAAAAAAACAATTAAAACAGATTGGTTTCTATATAAAAGAGCTCAGGATTTTTAAAACCTTATGAAATTATTTAGCAGTTACTCTTCATTCATTAAAAAATATAAATTGTAGAGAAGTAGTTTTTCTAAGCCCTTTTCAATTATATACTTCCTAGTAATTCCTCGCTAATTTTGCTACCCTTCATGAGTGATACCTTTTGCACATTAATTAAAATAATATATTTTATTTCACAATTACGTGAAAAATTGCAATGATGATTAGGCACAGACAGTGTTTGTAACAAATAAAAACATAGGAAAAACACAGGGCGTTATAAAACTTGAATAAATTAAATATAGAACCCCATTTAATGGGAACTATGTCATCTTTAAGAGGCAAATCTATAAGGTTAAAGCGATTCAATCCAAATTAAAGCAGTTATCAGGCTGTCAGTAACCTCCTGACCCCACCCACCCAGTCGTCCGCCCCTAGATCATAAGCATAATTCCTATCATCACGGTTATTTGGCAGATTCCGCTTATATTTCCATTGTCCGACGACTGTTTGGACATGAAGCAGGGGGGGCGATCGGGGAGGTATTATAAATATATAATATTTTAGCACTTGGGACGTGGCTTATCAGGCGCAGCAGCTCAAAAAAACACCCGACTTTGGAGCTGCTTGCCATTTGGACCCCCAGCGATCAGCTTAAAAAGAACTCTCGTTTATGCGGTGAAGAAGTCGCGAACATGTCACAAATCTCAACAGTTTTAGTGAATTGGAAGACGTTTTTATTAAGCCACTTAGCTACCTTTTAACAGTTGTTAGATTGTATTTACTTAAACTCTTTTAATATCTATTTTAAAGCTGGTGGCATTTTTTGCATCCAATGAATACGTGAAACAAAGCTAAGATATTTTAATGTACGACTAAACAATAATCAGATAAAAAATATTGTTATTGTTCAAAAAAATTATTTTAATTAGTATTATTTTTAGACGCCATAGACGTGACTAGCACATTAAAATAAGATTTTAATTACGCGTAGTGCTAGGATGCAAAAAAATACAAAAAAATAAAATGTTTGCTAGTCCATTAAGTTGTTTAATTATTTTCAATATGATTTTCTTTAAGTTTCTATGAAATTTGAAATCAGAAAACATCGTTACGTAACAAGCCAGCTATTTATAACACCAAGTTAATATTTACTGATGGCAATCAAAATTCCATTAATGTCTGAAATATATATTTATATTTATATTTAAGTTTAACCAAAAATAAATTTTAAGACTAAAGCTTAAAATGGGTTTGAAAAATTAAAAAAACATTATTAAATATATCTAACTTTATATATTTTTCAGATATGAAATCAGCTTGGCTCGGTTGTGATTTTATAAATTAGTCAAGACTTTGAGCCACTTCAGACAAATCTAATCGATGGCCAAGGTGCGAATTACTTTCATTTATTATGATTTGCTGTTTTGTTCTCGCCTCTTCAGCTGCAGCCCTCAAATAGATATGGCAAATCGAATGTAGAATACGGAATATATAACCTATATGCACTTGTATCTCCAGAAGTGCTGGCTGCTCAATCATCGTTGTTATTTCTGCGCGAACTGAAAACAAAGCGTACAAGTTGCAACAATGCCACAGATAATTGTGACGTGATAAACTAGATGTGGACGGAAGGGGGAAGGGGCGGTGATCTATTTCCCCTAGTCTGAACAAAAACAAATGCTATTTTACTTTTTCCAAAGCCATATCAGCAAGTACTTGATATGCACACACATTACAATGAAAGCCGGGCATGAACAAAAGCTAAAACTCAACCTAAAATTGATTAGAGTCGAACAATCGGCGCATGGGCGTCGTGATGGGGGCGTTACTATATATTTACAAGCAGTATGCAGTATATGCTCGAACTAAAACAACAGGAAACGCATCACCAGCATCTCCAACTTATACGGCATGATTCATCCGTCGGCGTCGCTCTTTTGTGCAATCAGAAACAATTAAAACAAAACAAATCAAATTAAATCAACGCAAAATGAGAGCGACAATTGTCGCCAAACTTTTACCTCCCGAACCTCAAGAAATTCGGCATTATCACACAGTATGCACAGTTGGGCCAAATATTGACCATGACATTCAGGGATCGTCTCGAAACGATTCTTTTAATCGCCGACAAAGAGATTGCGCATACGCAGCGTTGGCGACACTGACTTAAGGAAAATTTGCGGTCCACACGAAACATATTATCGAAAATCCGTCCACTCATCTTGTCCAACAAAGAATTAATTCGACTTTGATTTCAGATAGTATGAATGACGAAAACAACAATAGTTTTTAGATTATAATCTTGTTCGGCGTTTAAAGACTCTTCTCATGGCAAATCCTTATAATTAATTACAAATAATAATAATAATATCATATTTGTTTACTATCATATTATTTACTGCTTAATGGTTTTATATAATGCCCATAAAATACATTTTAATTTACTTTTTAATTTTAACTTTCTTAGTAATTAAAACTAATTATGAGGTAATATAATTTTCATTTAATCTTTTCTGAAATGTTCACAATTATAATTGCTGTGTTATTTTTTATTGATAGTAATTTGCTTACAGGTCATTATTAAGTGGCATACTTAATAGGATAGGTAAAATAATGACTAATTTTAAAAGGACTTAAAACTTTATTAAAAACACGTTTAAATGATTTTTCTATATACTCTATATTCATCCAAGTTATAGATAGTTATTATTTCCCATCTGTTATTTGTTGCTTTAGAACAAATCAGTTACAAACCGGTTGCTAACTGGATCGTAATCGGATATTTACTGTCCGATTTCACCATATGTGACCCCCAATCCCCTCATCCATTTGTTTATCTTGCACTTTCGCCTTGCAACGTATGAACCCCTCCCCAAAATGCGATAACAGTCGGACTGGATGCACTCAGTCACTCAGTCGTCGGATGGAGGTCACTACGCGGAGACTTTGCCCTTGACCCATCTGCATTATGAGTGTGAAAGCCGAGTGATAGCCCCAAAAATGTGACAAAATGTGCGCAGTAAGTAAAATGCAATATCAGCAGCAGCAAATAAAACCGAAATAGCATAAGCAACACGAACTGTTCGATTACGTGAGTGCACTGAAACAACAATTTGTATATTTCCTTAAAGCGTTAATCACCTAAAAACAAGGGTTTGTTTGTTTTAAAACATTAAAACATTGATTTTTCAGTTTATTTCTAAAGAAAGCAAATTTCTCCAAACTTAAAGATAATTATAATATAATTTTATAATATAATTGTAAAATATTTAAAGGAAAAATAATTTTATAAACTTTTTTTTTAATAAATCTAATTGTAAGCCATAAATCAAATTGTTATATATTATATTGCTAACATTTAAGTAGTCCATTTAAATTATTTAAATTATTAAATTTAACTTTTTTTCAATCATTGTGACAAATGCAATAAATATAAGTCTGTATTTATAGCGTGAGGATAACAAAAGGATAACTTTTAAAATCATAATATATAAAATTTTAAACAACATTGAAATTAAAGTTTTAGAAAAAAAGATATAACAGAAAAAAAGATAAAAATATTTTGACATCTCTTACTTCAATTATAAAACCTTCAAGTATTATACTGAAGTAGTCAAATTTTCTTCGTGTGTGGGGCATTGTTTTGGGTGGTTTTGTTATTGTTTTTGTTCGGTGGTGCTCGGTAAGATTGCAGCGTTTTGGTGGCTAACAAATGTCGTTGAACCCCACCAGCAGCAAAACAAACAAATGCGACTTGCCAAATAAAAGAAACGATGCCAAAGGTGATAGAGAACACTTGCATGTGACATGCAAGCGAAAAGCGAGTGATTCATGCGTATTTTATCATCCATTTCCAGTTCTTAACTTTTTAATGACGAGGATAAGGATGGCTTACTTATATTCCCAACAGCCTTTGTCTTTTCAGATTTATGTTTCGATATTATTGTCCGGTTCAAACTGCATCTAGCTGGAAAACTGTCCGAGCAGCGGTCATTCGCACTTTGTTTATTATGAAATTAATTCACTTTGCTTGGCACTAAATGAATTTCAGCTTTTGCGGTCACGGATTCTTAATTGCCTTGGCCTTGGACTTACTTTGTGTGCACTTCCCAGTCGGAATCCCTGCCCGCCAAGTCCCTCAAGCTCCTCGACCTCCCATCAATCAGATCCACCTGACCAGGCTGTTGAACCTGGTCAGGGAGCTGACCCACTAACCGGATTCTACGGGCTGCGTATGGATTAAAATGGATGGAAATTCCGGTGGGAACGAATAAATGTCTTTTGATTGGAACCAGGACTCGTTTTCATTGAATTTCTTTAATTCCTTCCTTTTTTTTCCTTCATTTTGTTGACAATACAGCACTTACAACACTTTTTCTCATAATTTATCAACATTAAATCTACATTTTAATAACTAAATTATATAATAAGTCCATCCTTTTGCGCATTGCAACTCCCTTGCTAAGTTACATAAATTACACATAACATTTCCCCCTGATCTCCATCAATCATTCTCAACAATCTTGTCAGCATAGGCTTACCCCTTGGGATTCAGTTACTAACAATATCGATCATAGCCACCTGAAAAGCATATAAAGGAGATGGGTAACTAATGCACTTTCGCTTTTTTCCTCTCCCACGTTCGGTGACTACACGCACACCAAATAAAACAAAAAAAAAAAAAAACCGAAAATAAAGAAACAAATCCGTTTAAAAATAGTTTAGACCGAAAGTGCATTCTCGATATATGGATGGTTCCTCCGTTTTTGTTTTGCTCTGTTTCCAAGGCGACTGCATTTAGCTCCTTGGGCAAACCCACAAAAACAGGGAGATGATTCGATCAGATATGGGGATTATGACATGGAGCATTTACACGGCATGTAATTCGACAGTTAAGACCGCCTTATCAGATCCAGTCGACTTACCTTTCGGGTTGTGGACTATGTGGGCTATGTGCGCCTGCTATTTGATAATTACTCTGTTGCTGTATTTTTTGTTCTTTTTGTTTACTTTATTGTCAGAGTGTGCAAATCTTTTTATGACTTTGTTGACACTTTGTGTTCTTCGCGTTACAGTTTCAATTGTCCAATCGTGGAGATTAAGAATCGTATGAGGCGGTGAGTGTTCAAAAAAACTGAATGAAATCGATCAAGTTTCGACTGTTGAACGCGTATAAGTAATGACGGTCCCTGGCGACTGGCCACTCTTAAAGTGTCCTTCCGATTAATGTATATTTGGTCGCACTAAACGTTGGTAACCGTAACGAACTCGGACACGGCTCTTGTCGTTGGCTTTAACCCGCAGAGTTTTTTATGGGATTTATTTCTCGATTCCGGGAGCCTGCTTTTAGCTAGTACTTATTTGGCGAGACGCAACCGTTGTCGCTGTTAGCAAGCGACCAAATAAAATTAAACGCGAGCTGTTTAAGAGCGAAGAAGGAATGGCGGCAAAGAAAAAGCAAACACCGAAACTGAAAAGCACTCTCTGCTCCTCTCCGGCTCCTCTCTCGGACCGCTCTCTGTCTCTCTATCTTCTTCCTTATCAGTGGTCAACCCCGCTGGAAAAGAGAGCGCACTGCACTTCGAGTAAATGGAGAACTTTTGGGCGGGAGAGCGCTACCAAGTGATCGGACTCAATCCGCTTTGAATTATAGAAACCTTATCAGTTTATAATTTTTGTAAAGGTTTCTTTTTTTTTGTCTGATTTCCAATTGTTGTCCACAGGTAAATAACACGGGTTTTTGGGTGGGGGGGGGGTGGTGGAATGGGGGGGAGTTCTCGAACGCTTACGCCTTTCTGGGCTTAGTGTTAAATATTAATTAACAAATTTGCTCGAGTTGAACTGTGCGTAAAACGAAATCACAACGGTCACAAAAAGAAAATACAATCATAACAAATTGTATAGAAGAGACTATATAGACCATGCAGGGCACTGTGATACCCTATAAGAAACAGTTTATTAATATTTCTACTATTACATGTGAATTGATTTGATTGTAAATTAAATATTTTTAAAACGACGTCGAGTTTATTTTTTTGATAATTTTCTTTCAGTACTTATTTGATTTGTTTTTAGGCTTTGCCTAACTTTTAACTTAAAAATAATCTTACCTTTGAAAATGTATTTTTTTTAAGAGTGCATCTTCGGCCAAGTGGCAAAGTTAATGTTTTCGAGTATGTTTCAAAATGTATAAGTGGGAAAAGAGTAAGTGTCCTTAAGTTATTTGAATTTGTTTAATAAATGCTGGTATGCTTTCTTATTTATCATTAATATCGTTTATTTTTCTCAGTCTTTAACAATGGATCTTATGGTACCAATGCAATTTACTGCAACCAACCCATTAAACGAATAAAGAGCTCGCCTTGTCATTTTAACTTCACATAAAGGTAGTGAAAAATGAAGGTCAGCGATAAGGCAGCTATTTGTTGCCCACGACGAACTGTTTATACTCTGTACAAATTTAATGGAGCGGAGTATTTAACTTTCCCCACTCACGGGGTTCCCTAGTTTATGGAGCACTATGCGTGAAGAGTCACACCAGTCGCAGTGTCCATTGATCAACATTGGAAATCTGACTTGACTGCGCTTCGCACTGATAGCATAATTTGCTGGGCAAATAGTGCTTTTGAATGCTATAAATATACACAAGACCCCAAGACTTGACTGAAGGCAATCGGTCACAGGTTGGTTGGTCGGTCATCAAAGATGAATTGGTCGACCAACCCGTGATCCTATATATCAGGCGTACTACCTCCTTCCCGACCAAACCCCTTGGTCATTTATGATTGTCGTAATGCGACAATATTGATAGTCGATTATGCCGAGTATAATGATAACGCCTTCTACAACGGGAACGGGACCGGGACCGGGACCGGGACCGGGACTGGGAATCAATTCCGCATAGTGAGTCCGAGGGTGGCCATGCCACGCCCCATTTCCAATTGATAAGATAGTGGAGTCCGGTGCAGGGGAAATGGAGCGCTACTAGAGGCTCAACTGGCTGCAAGGAGCGAATTTGCGCCCGAGCAGGAGTTCCGGAATTCCAATCGATTGTGATTGGGTCACGTTACCCAGGTGCCAGCCTTCAAAAACTTGCCAGTCACTCAATTGCCTATATTTGAAACTAGACAGAGTTTGTAGGTTGGTTTTCTGCTTAGCTTTCTCACTTTATTTTCTAAAACAAATATATACTTTTCTAAGCAATGCAGATCAATCAACTTGATGAACAGGACATCTGGTTCCAGTCCGCTTTGGGCATGCGCGAAGAGACATTCAGTAGGCCATGGAACTACTCCTTTCGCGTACCGAGCGATCCTGTCCAGCTTTTTAAGTGGCTGCTAACATTGAAGCTGCCCATGCTGGAGGAGGAGACTCCGCCCTGGAGTTTCTATTTCGATTTGTGGGAGGCCAAGGACATTGAATTGAACGTAAATGTTATCAGCGGAATGCTTCTGGTGAGCCTCGCATGTCAGACAATAGATGTTCCTTCGACGCCTGATGATGTAAAACCATCCACTTTTGAAAAAGGTCCATACATAACTGGAGGTATTAAATGTGTATTCAGTACTAAAGATCCATCCATCTCTTTAGATATGGTAACATCCCAACGTAAGCTAACAAGCCCATATCTGTCTACTGATGATAAAATATCTCCTCGGTCAAGTCTGGTGGATGTGGCAACTGGTCCCGATGAGCCGCCCGTCGTTCCCAAGTTGGTGGAAAAAGGAACTGGGCCCGAGGTTATAGCATCGCCACATGGGGATCCAAAACCGAAACCGCGGTCCTTTTATTGTCTGATGAAAAAGGCGGTGCTGGCCTTGTCCTTGCTGCACACCCTCTATGTCCTGATCCAGATCGCCTTCGGATCATCCCTGGCCGATGTCTGGGAGGCCATCGACGGGTATCCGACTCCGCCGCAGATCGAGGAGACCGGGTGGTCAGTGGCCAGCATGCTTGAGGCCCTGCTGGGGGCCCTGCGAAGTTTGATGCCCTAAATGCGCTCCTGGATAGTCCGCATGCAGATAGTTTCGTTTCGGTTATTTTTAAACCCATCCAGCTATTTTTACGCTTCAAGACTCAGCTATGGTCCCACTTCCAGACGATTCCTTCGCCGCTGCTTGTTGTTCTCATTGCTCATTGTTGGCGACGTTCGAAGATTACGGGCAGAAAACGGAGGACCCGAAAATACGGACTGTTGTCGTTGTTCTCGTGGTTATTGTTGTTGTTGCTGTGTACCCAAGACAACGACAACGATCCGACTTGGCGATAAGCCTCGGAATCTACACAAATCTCGGTCAATAGCTCACCGATCCGTAGCCAAATAAATACCAAGCTGAGTCCCCCAGTTCGAATCTCTCTCTGGAAATGTTTAAAATATTCCATTTGCTGGCACACTAGTTATATATCCCTCCAAATCGCGGATTCATGGACAATGATCCCAAAAGCGACCACCTCTTATCGGTGTCAAACACCTTTTACTTATTGTACATTAATAGGTGCATTCACTCGCCTTTCCCAATCCGAAACGGAACTCGATCCCCAACTGGCGTCATCATTGCCTAACATTCCGCTGGAACGTTCCCGTAACTATCTGATCATATGTATATACATACCAAGGGATCAGCGATGACAAATATAGGAAGGGTTTTCAGTTTATAATCTGATAAGTTTTGGGATGTAACTATTTGTTACTTCAACTTTGTATATATATATATATATACTGCAAAGTATAATGCAATCAAAATACAACTATAAAATTTTGATTACTGCAATTTTGTATATATTATTTGATAAATAATGTTCTTGAAAAACACACTTAATCTTGTTTATATTATAGAATCTTTAATATATTTTTTGATACATTTTTATAAGGTTGAAAAAGACACTCCTTATGTTTATCTTATTTCCCTAAGTAAATTACATATATTTTTATTATAAGAATGGATTTGAGCAATATACCCGAACGCTTTGTAAGTTCCATAATTGCTGATTTCTTAAATCAAAATGATTTTCATATACATTAAGCCTATCTGTCCTAGTACCAACTATTGATTTAATTGCAGCTGACGGAAAAGGGAAACGCTGGAATTTTCGCTGCACGTCAACGTCAAACAGGCGAAAAGCCGGAAAATTGAGCTGCCAGGGAAAGTGAGGAAAATGGGGAAAGCAATGGCAAAGGCATAATGTGCCAGCTAGAGAATATGCATGCAAATTAGCTGACAAAACAAGATTGACATTCGGCAATCAGCGGCAAATTGTCTGCAGCAACCATTTTGTTATTTCACTTTTTATTCCACTTTTTTCGCAAAACATGCCGCATTGCCATTTTCCCTGCCGCAGCCCAAAAGCCAACTATGAGAACTGGTTAAAAAGGCAAATGCCAAGAGCAAAGGCCGCGAAGCAATCGTGTAGGGGAGGTGGGTCAAAAGGGGGCCCAAAAGCCTAGCATATATAGGATATACTTAATAGCACAGTATCTGGCCGGGTCGTTTGCTCTGTTGCCGCCTTCTATTTAACATGCACTCGTGAGAAGCGCTGGGCCGCATTAATATTGCAAAGTTGGACAGGACGAAAGTCGATCCAAGGGGCAGTTTTCTCTTTACAGCCACCTGTTGAGTGGGACCCTCTGCTCCTCCTCCTCTTCCTACTTCTCCTCCACTTCCTACTCCTCCTCCTGCTCCAGCTCCTGCCCCTCCTCTTGGTTGCAACAATCAGATATGCACAGGCACACACCGTGGCAAGCAGGCAATCCAACACTCTGAGCGCAAAAGGACCTCTATTTACAGAGGGGGTCAACTTGGTAGCAGCGCTAATTTCACAACGAGCTATCATGATTAAGGTAACCCCAGAATTTTTAACTAATTTTAAGTATGCCTTTGGGCAGGCATTTCTCATCTCCTTAAAACAGTTTTTTAAAATATGAACATATTAATACACTTATTCAACACTTATTCAACACTAATTTTATTAATTTAACAATCTGTATATTATTTAATACACTTGTTAGCATAAATCTGTTTAAAATATAATTTTAAAATCGATTTTTCTTAAACACATAAACCAGGCCATTTTTAACCTAATAAAAGAAGAAATGAAATGTTAAATTGTTTACATGACACCAAACATGTTAAATGTTCTTGATGGCTAAAGTTAATTAAAATCAATTTAATTAGAAAGCCTGAGGTTATTGAGCCCGAAACCCAATATATATACCTTTAAGTGCTAATAATGCAACCGCAGCTGTGGCACTCCCGTGTGAGTTTTCGCTAATTATGCACGGACTGATGAAAGACATGCGCTGTCGAGCGAAAACGGCCGAGTTAACACTCAAAACATCGGTGTGGAAATGGGAATGCCGGTGTTCGGGACTGTACTTCCGTAATATATACACATTTGTATGGTATATATATCGGGAGCGATCAAAGAACATTGAAAGTGTCCCGATGCCATAAGTGGCGCACAGCATCCGTGCAACTTTCACAAGCTATCCTGGCCGTTGTCTCTGTACTTTCGCTTTTACTTTCACGGGAATCCCTCTGCTTCTGCCCACTTTCCCTCCCCCAAAGTTCTCCTTCTGCCCACCTGGATGCGCTGCACGTGCCTTGAGTGTGTGTGTGACAGGTGGTTATGTCGATGCACCTGAATTTTCCCCTCCGGCGTCGCTTTCTCACGTCTCGGCTACAATGTGTTATGCATAAGCCGTGCTGGCAATACGAGGATTATGGAAAAATATGCCCAAATGAACTACATTTTAGGAGTATCCCCTGGGGTCAAAAAGTAACCATCCCATTTGCTGTGAAAATGTTGTATTTTGCCTATGTTTCCAACTATACAAAGCTATGCCCAAATAACAGGTAGCAGGCTAAAGGTTAAAATTAATCGTAGTCATAGTTGAATGTTGATGTTGATGCATTTAGGAGGCTTATAATGAAATCAACCTATCATTATATTTCAAAGGTATCTAAACTGTTTAAGAGGCTAGTTTTGTAAGACTCTTGTTACGGGTGAAAATAATATGCAAATATCAAAATAATGGATCCCTTGGGATCAAATAGTGCCAAACCCCGTCTTATCACGCACGTACATTGTATTATTCAGATTTTTGGGCTTAGATTGCTTAATAAGGCATTTTAATTGGGTTCGTATTCGCTAGGCACCACTGTGCACTTGGCCACTTACCCTTGCACTTTCCGATGAGCCGGCACGTGGCACGTGCTGCAACCGGTCGATCCTTCGGTCACGGACACCAGTACGGTTTTGGACACTGATACGGTCACCGATACGGACACGGATACGGACACGGACACGGATAGGGGCACTTACACCACAAAGGACTGTAGTTACCGCAGCGGTCGAAAATCGAACTTTGTCGCGTAATTATTTGGGAATCGGTTGGCCGTGGAATCCAACGAGCCGTAATTAGCGAATGGACGGCCATCCGCTGTCCGTTAACAGTTAACAGACTGCCGGACTGCCGGTCTGCCGAATCACACAGAGCCGGACTGGATTGAACTCAGGCCAACCTACCGCCTGAGTGCCGGGCTCGAAACACTCTGCCCCACGGAGCTTTGCTTTTGGCGATTTTCAAATGCAGCGCCGATGACTGTGAGCTTTGCAGCTTTTCGGGGGAGCTTTCCCATCCCCATCATCCTTCCCCATTTTTAGGGGACACTACCTTAGTCACGTTGCACGCAGGATAACATGTGTTTTGACTTTTGTCCTAAAAGCTGGACTTCAACCTCAACCCCGAGCATTTGTTGCCGGGCTCCCATAAGCCACCTGTTGAGTCGCCCATCTGATCTGGGCGCTTCCATCGAATTCATCTCCTGGGTTTTAAGCTCCTTGCTGGGTAGCTGAATGCCCAATTAATGACTGCATTTTCACTCATGACCAGCTGGCCGCTGTAATCCGAACGATTTTTTCTAATTAAAAGGGAGAAGTGCGGCCATTAAAAGTTGTGCCTGGCTTAGCTGTGAAATTTGCGTTAGTCAGATTTAACTGCTTACAAAAGGGTTAAATCACGAAAAAGGAAATGGCTGGTATAAAAAGTGAAGTACTTTAGATTAACATATAATCTCTTCAAGAACAATTAAATTTTAATATATTTGTTAAGTCATTACAGTTTATATATAAGCTGTGATCCAGGAACCATGTCAAGAATATTTATTTTATAATTATAAATCATAAATAAAGTTTTTGAAAGGAAAAGAGCCATATAACTAAAGTTTCAAAACATGATAAATGAAATGATAGTGTGCATTTATGCAGCCTTACCAAGTACAAGTACATAAACATTTTGTAAAAGGAAAAGCCCCTTTTCCAGCTGATGTTACGTGTTCCAAAAATGTGATAATAAATAAATAAGAAAATGATAATCTATACATTATTTTTTATTTATTATCACATTCCTCTTCTTGAAATATAAAGTTTTAAAATATTTTGTTATATCTTGATAATTCATTTATAAAATTTGTAAAATGAAAAGAACCATACACGCATTTCCCAATTCAGTTGTAAAAAAAAGCTAAATTTACGTGTTCAAAATGATATGATAAATAGAAATCAAGTGTGGCTTTGCTAAGTACTTAAGATTAACATAAAATCTTTCCAAGAATGATACAGTTTTAATATTTTGTTTATATCATTATAATTCAACGAACAATCTCTTTAAGAATTATAAAGTTTTAAAACATTTGTAATTTCATTATAATTCATATATAAACTTTTTTTAGGTTTCATATATATTTCCCAATGCAGGTATAATAAAAAGCTAAAGTTACGTGTACGAAACGTGATGATAAATGGAATGTGAGTGTGCAACATTATAGGGGGCTTCACTTGCAGCTGCGTTGCGTTTGCATAATACGATAGGTGGGCGGGAACCTAAATGCCTAGATACTAGATGCCTCCCCTGGCCCCATCCTCCTCCTCCGCCTCCGCCTGAGTGTCAATGGTATCAATGGTTGTGTCATTGGTGTCCGCATTCAAATCCACCCAGTTGTCGTCGCTGATTTCGTCAATGGTATCCTCCGTGTCATCCACTACGGCAGCAACGCTCACGTCATCCGTGGATCCCGAATTAGTGGTGCCCGTGGTTGTGGTGGCCGTGACAGCGGACGAGGGTCGCAATATCTCCTCCTGGGTGGCCGGTGTCGGGGTCGTCGAGGTGGTATTGGTGTACGATGCAGAGGAGGGTGTCTCCGATCGGTAGCCCAATCCTAGGCCCGTAATGTACGACCCAGAGCCCGATCCTGACCCTGATCCTGAACCCGATCCAGATGCAGTTTCCGTTCCAGTTTCCGTTGCCGTGTCTGTTGTCGTGCCCGTATTGGAACTGCAACTGGCTGTTGTCCCCGACGTGGAGGCATCATCTCCAAGTAGGGCATCCTGGGACAGCATAGGGCGCGGTGTCCCCTTGTGTTTGTTCTTTGCCCGGGCCACCTCGTAGTCCTTGAGGTCAGACAACTTTAGCGTGATTCTCTGCAGATCGCGTTTTAACATCTTTATGAAACAATTTTAAGGTTGGGTCGATAAACAGTTATTTGGGCAGAGTTACCATTAAGTTTGGCTATCAACTGCCGGCTAGTGATCACACTTTCTCTAAAATAGCACAGTGACTATTGTATAACAGTCACAATTAAAACAAGGCTATACAATTTTTATAGAAGTGCGATTTCTATTTTTCTTTTTTTTAAGCATACATATATTTATATATTTATAAAACAGGCTTATACAAAATTTAATAAAAAACATTTATCAAGTTAGTTTTGTACTAAATTGTATGTGATATTTATATTTTGTGATATTCCATGGCTCTCTCTAATTAAAACTTAAAATTCAAAGACATTATTTAAGCTATATTTGCAAGACATTTATTTTTGGGAAATGATTCACGAAAACAAATATATATATACGTATGATAGTGCAGTGATGAGCATGAAGCGATCGAAAAAAAAAACAGTATGCATTATGATCATGGATAGGTGGACAGGTTCCTAGTAGAAGCCGTAGTGCCCGTGGTGGTACGGGTAGTAGCCGTGGTGTCCGCCGTAGTAGGGCGCAGCGTGGACGTATCCATAGCCACCGTAGTAGGGACTGCCCAGTCCGTAGCCGCCGTAGTGGCCATGTCCGTAGCCTCCGTATCCGCCGTAGCCGCCATACCCGTGGCCGAATCCGTAAATGCCTCGTTTCTCCGTCTTCTTCTCGTCCACGGCGGAGGTCTGCTCCGGTTCCAGAGCCTCAGGGGCGGGCTCCGAAATTGCTGCCCAGGTGCCTACCAAACCAATGGCCAGGATGAAGAAAACACACTGCATAGAGAAAAAAAAAGATTGGCCATTTAGGTTTTTATAAAAAGTATTCTTGATAATTTTAACATTTTCATTATATGTTGATGTAAAACTACTTAAACCTCTTTGGTTCGAAAAAATATTTGCAAACTAACTATAATTTATGTATTTGACTTAGTTAAAAGCTGTCAAAATTCGCTTTTCGTTTAAAACAACACGACTATAACATAGTGTTTTTATATTATTTCCAACTGCTTAGTTATCAACTTTTTATATTTGCATATATATAGATTTTTATTAAAAGACTATCGAAATTTGAGTTTATAATTGAGTGAAAAATCTGGAAAATGCAAGCATATTTCGTTTTAACTGAAATTGTTATATCCAGCAAAAAAAACCATAATTTTTCATAAAAAAAAAATATATCACTTTTTTTCAACCACTAAAACGTAGAGTAAATGATATAAAACTGTTACAGAATATGCAGCGGGATATTAAAAATAATCCTTCAACTTCAACTGGAACTTTATAGTGAATTAAAGAATCACATTTTTGTTTAAAAAAAAATAGTGTCACTTGAAAAAAATATCACTTTTTTTTTGTTTGGCCGGAATTAGTCCTTTTGTGTTGTTGGTGCTTACCAAGAACTTCATGTTGCTGCTGCAGAGATTGCGGATATCTGGATTGCTGGTGGTCTTGATGGGTTGGGCGCTAGGCGACGTTTGTTGATGGCTGCCAGTTGCCCGCTGCTTTTATAGTCACCCGGCTTGGCTTGTTGCTGCTACAGTTGCAATTATGCAAACTGACAACAGCAGCAGCAGCAACGATTGTTGCAGTTGAATTGAATGCATGACGGGTTGAGGACTTGAAACCGAATATTGTTTATGCTGCGGGAGCGAAAAGGTCTTCCATCCGCTCATCCGGCGGATCGGAGTGGAGGGGAGTGGAGCGGAGTGGGCGTGGAAACTAACGATATCGGTTATAATTGCAATCGCAGTCGAAATTCTAAGATCCCAGGCTTATTGGGCAATCGCAAAGTGAGGCAGCAATGCGATCCACATGCAACATGAGACTCTAGCCTGCGTTCCACAATCACCAAGTGCCCGAATGCATCTCGTATAACGTAAAACACTTTCACTGGCTGATCGGATGGATTACAGGGCAGGCAGGCCCAATTGGGAAGCATTGCCTAAGCTCGTTCAGAAGCTGGGCCAAATATCAAAATGCCACAAGTCCCGTGGGAATTGCACATGCATGCGCCAGCATTATATATATAAATTATGAACAATTGCACGTTTGGCAGCATTTTGGCATTTGTAATTAAACTGCCAGCCCAGCTGAGATCTCTGCCAGATCATTTCCAATGCAAACTCTTATCGAAAGAATATCCAAAGCGCACGACTTCAACGGGTCTCTCTAGATGAAGGGGTATATTGGGCCAAAGGTTGTTGCCCAGGTCGATAGTCATCCATTTCGATGGTTGTAAGCAAGGTTTAAAATGGTGTATTAAGTATTTGAAGCTTACAAGTATTGCAAAATAATATTACATTTAATTTGAGTAATACAATGCATTTAATTGTAAATAAGTAAACTTACACGTTCAATATTGGCAAAGTATCTGAATTTTTTTTCTACAAGCTCTACTTTTGCTTATTTCATTTTGGGAACCAATTTTACAAATTTAAGATGAATGTGATGACCTAGTCTCAGTAAAGAGCAGCACTGAGATAATGATCTAGTCTCATTATAGAACAGTTCTATAACTAAATCAGCATTATCATCAATTTAACTTCAACAATTTTGGATTAGTGGATATCCATCTGTAAAGACGACTCCTTCCACGAATCATTTCCGTCTGCCTGGGGCTGGGTAACCAGCACCCAGCACAATGAAGGACGACCTTGACCGCAGTGCCAATTGCAATCGCAATCGCTGTTGCCGTTTCTGCTGCTCCGAGTTCCCAAGTCATGAATGAAGCAACGCCGGAGGCAACATTGTTGAATGAAGCATGGAAAAGCGCATTTTCGTTTTCATTTAATTTCCATTTTCGTCATCTCCAGCCATCTAGCCAAAAGTGGGTGGCACCACCGCCATCCATTGTCTTCTCCTCCCCGCGATTGTTTCGGTATCATATCATTTAATATTAATGCCCTGCGCATCGGAGGTGAATGCACGCGAATCCGAGGCGCGTTGGGCAAGCGGAAGCCATCGGGTGCTCTGCGGATCTGGTCACGATCCGGAGATGACAACATTTTTGATTGCCAGCTAAATTATAATTCTTGGCTAATTCTAGTCTGTGCGGAATTGATTGATTCCCCATTGTGACCGGTTTGATTTACGGCCACAGCCACAGCCACAGACGACTCTATTGGCTGGCTAATGGCGCATTGTTGGGTATGTCCAGGGTCAGATCTTGAATCTCTAAATCTCGAAGTCCCGCCGGGGCTCCGGTGAGCGATCCACTTTGGCCAGCTGTCCGTGGTTACACAACAACACAATTGGCGTTGGCCTTTTCAGCTGAAAATGCTTACATTTCCTTACAATTTATTGCGCTTAACAGACATTTAACAATTAAATAGGGGGGCGGGGGAGGGAAGTGGGTGTACCCTAGTACTTCAGCTCCTTGGCCTTGTCGTGGGCCCCCTCGTCCAGGAGCTTAAGCTCCGCCTGCTGCTTCTCCGGCCGGATGACCGTGTAGTAGTGGTAGTAGCGCATCCCCAGGATGTACGTTCCATACAAGGTGACCCCGATGCAGGCGTAGACGGCGCCGCGATGCAGCTTGTCCAGCAGGGAGTTAGCGTTGATGGGCTTTTTCTGCATGGCCGCTAAACAAATCCCTTCGAAATCCGTGAAAATGTCCGGTTTCACCAGTCAAGTTTCCTCAGCTGTTTTGTTGTCAGTGATGAGATAGCGGCGGGCATATCGATAGTAGGGCACCGGCACTGCCACCAATCGACTATCAGTAGCTAAAAAGTTTTTGGTTGTGTAGGTTTTGAAAAGAGAACTCACAAAATAATCATTATTTTGTAGAGCTGAGATTAAGACTCAACAAGTAATCGTTATTTTGTGAGATTTATATGCAACTTTCAACATCCCACAAGTTTTAAATGAAAAATGATAACAATATATCGAACTTTAAGACTTTTAGTCATAATTATTATACTGGTATAGTTGGATTGTTTCTTAGAGATTTTTGTGACCATGATTTTTCTGTTACAAAAATAATCAATAATAATTATATTGGTTCTTTTGTTTTATAACGTTCTTTTGCAAAATCTTTTTTCAGGTACACATTTGTGAATACATATTTTATTTTATTTTATTTTATAAGCTAGATCCAGCTAGAAATCGATAACAAGCTTTCAGCGATAGTTTCCCCGCGCACCTCTAGCGATTGACAAATCGATTATCTTTCGCACGCACGTGTTTACAAATTTATAGTCCATTGGAACTTCAGAAGTAACAACGCCATTGTGAAATAGCCCAACAATAGAGATCTGCCAAGGATAAATGGATCACGAATACGCTGGCGTTAGCCCGCTGGGCGTCGGGGATGGCAAAGGTGCCGCCTCGGACGCGATTATCCTGTGTTGCGAGTGCGGAGTGGCCATCCAGCCGAATCCGGCCAACATGTGCGTCACCTGTCTGCGCAACCATGTCGACATCACGGAGAACATTCCTAAGCAGGCGGTGCTCCACTTCTGTCGCAATTGCGAGCGCTATCTGCAGCCGCCAAACGAGTGGATCCAGGCCGCCCTGGAGTCCCGTGAACTGCTGGCCATCTGCCTCAAGAAGCTGAAGGGCCTGAAGGACGTGAAGCTGGTGGATGCGGGCTTCATTTGGACGGAGCAGCACTCCAAGCGCATCAAGGTGAAGCTGACCGTGCACGGCGAGATCACCGGCGGAACGGTGCTGCAGCAGGTCTTCGTGGTGGAGTTCACGGTGCAGAATCAGATGTGCAACGATTGCCACCGCACCGAGGCCAAAGACTTCTGGCGCTGCCTGGTGCAAGTGCGCCAGCGGGCAGACAACAAGAAGACCTTCTACTATTTGGAGCAGCTGATCCTGAAGCACAAGGCCCACGAGAACACGCTGGGCATAAAGCCGGAGCACGGCGGCCTGGATTTCTTCTACGCCAGCGATAACCATGCCCGTCGCATGGTGGACTTTTTGCTGACCATGGTGCCCGGCAAGGTGACCACATCCAAACGTCTCATCTCGCACGATATCCATAGTAACAACTACAACTATAAGTACAACTGGTCGGTGGAGATAGCTCCGGTGTCGAAGGACAGTGCCGTTTGCCTCTCCAAGAAGCTGCGCCACCAGCTGGGCAATCTCTCGCCAGTGGTCCTGGTCAACCGGGTGTCCAGCAGCATTCACTTGATTGATCCCCTGACGGCGCAGATCGCCGAACTCACCTCGCAGGTGTACTTCAGGTGGGAATTATCCACTCCTTAGATTGTCCTTAAGTTAGCTTATTTACTTGACCTTTCCAGAGCTCCCTTCGAAGCCATCTGCAATCCGAAGCAGCTGGTTGAGTACATCGTCATGGACATTGATGTCATCATGGAAAAGGATCGCAAGAGCTATCCCGGCCAGGGTCAGGTCTCCTTCAAGCACGCCCTCTGCGACATTTGGGTGGTGCGTGCCTCGGAGCTGGGCATCAACGACAACCCCATTCACACACGCTCCCACTTGGGCCACCTGCTCAAGGTGGGCGACTCTGTGATGGGCTACAACACCGGCGAGGCCAACATCAACGATCAGGAGTTCGACAAACTATCGCCAGAGCTTATTCCAGATGTGATCCTGGTGCGCAAGCACTACGATCGCCAGACCAGACTCAGCCAGCGCGTGTGGAAGATCAAGCATCTGGCGGCGGAAGCCACCGATGAGCGCAGCAAGTACGACTACCACGAGTTCCTCGACGATCTCGAGGAGAACGAGGATATCCGCGGACAGGTCAACATCTATCGGGACACCAACAAGACGGTACCTGTCGAGGTGCAGGCCGCTGGCGGAGATGTGCCGCAGATCACGTTGGAGGAGATGCTGGAAGACATGACGCTCGAGTGCGCCGACGACGAGATGGGCGACGAGGGAGGTGCCGAGGAGGCCGAGCCGCAGTTATAGGTTTTTTTTTTATTTATACAACATTTTCTTTTACCCATGTATGCCCTGTACATATTCGCTTAATCCACATAAACAACTAGGAAACTAAAGGAAACTTAATGCGTGGAATACTCTCTTGATCCACTAACACTGCAATTTAATAGCACCTATATGTTACCAAGGTGGCAATGTAAATTATAATCGGAATACTGATTGCTTTCAATATTTCTTTTGGTTCTTTAAGGGACATTTAAAAATTTTAGCTGCCGCACAGTTCTCAAGAAATTTGACAATATTTTAAATTATAAAATTCTATTCCTTTTTGGTGTAAGCATAGCGCATTGGTAACATAGGGGATTCACTAAAATTCTAGCTAAGTCTTGTCTAAGCTGCTCGTTCGTTGTGGCATTGTCCTAAGAGAGTCCCAGCTGGGGTTTCTCCTTGAAGAAGTAAATCTCGTCGCAATCGCAGCCATGATCCGCCTCCCATTCGAGCAGCGCTCGCTTCACGATGGGAAGGATGTGCTTTCTGGTGGCCTGAACATTGTGTTGGCGCAGAAAGCAGCCGCCCATGAAGCGGGTGTCCACCTCGTGCGGTCGCAGCTCCAGCTTGGGATCGTTGGACTCGACCAGTGCCTGCCGTACGCGCTCCACCACTTGGCTCTGGCCCGAAAGGGAGATCAAGGCCAGGTCGCGCTGCACCTGACCGTCGACGGGTGAGACATACATGCCCAGCATAACCAGCAGGTTACTCTCGACGCCGAACTCGCGTATGGCTTTCTCGGCGCCGCTCTTCTCCACGAAATCCCTTACGAGGATGGGCATTCCAGCCAGCGGAACCACCTGGCGATCGGTTTGCAGGATCTTCATATCCTTGCGCAGAACTTCGGTGAGAGTGAGTTTACTAATGTCGGCCCTTGCAGCCACCAGCTCATCGAACAGGCTGGTTCTCTGATCCACCTGGCTGTTCAACTCCCTTTCCAGCTGCTCCACCATGGCCAAATCCTTTGGCCCAAAGCGCTTGGCCGCCGGGGCAAAATTGATGGTGTCCAGCACGATGGTGGCGTGTAGTAGCTTGGCAACGCACTTGGATCGGGGCTGCTCCTCGGCCAGATAACGCTGGGCCACCAGAGTGGCACAGGAGCCCACCGTGGCATCGATGTCCAGCTCACAACCCGTTGGCAGCTGCTTGAAGGATGGACTACTCTCCTCCAGGGGCCTGTGATCCAAAACCTCCGTCACTTGCGGTGCCAGTGGGCTGACGTGGTGATCCACAAGGATAACGTTCACATCCTGCGCCACATCACCGGGAAGATCATCACGGAAGAGCAACACGGGCTCGGCAATGCCACACTTGACAAACAAGTGGCCAACCTCCGTTTTCAGGGGATAATCCCGGCGAGGAATGTTCAGAATCGGCACATAATCGTGCTCCCGGTGGCGCTGCGCGTAGACAAAGGCCAAGGTGAGGGCCGACACGGCGGAGTCCAGGTCGCACGACTCGTTCCCCATCACCAGGTGCAGTTTCCGGCCGGGATCGGCGGCGGCAGCTGCCCAGGCAGCAGGTGACGCCTCCGCCAGATGCTGCCGGAGATGGGAAACCCTATTAGTGCTGGGGGACTGCTTCGATCCAGAGTATCCTGGGAAGTACTTACCCGTCCCAAGGTGCCGCGAGCTTGGGCCAGAAAACGTAGGAGACACATTTTCCAGGGAAGCTCAAGGAAAACTCTGAAAAGCTGGAAAAACAAACGTTTTTTTTTATAATTCAACAGTTGCCAGTATCGATACAAGGCGAAATTTATCGATTGGCAAGCGCAAATAAGCTAAAAATACCTTAAATAGCCAGATATTCATTTATTTGTGTTATAAGCTGCTATTTATCCGTGCCGCGATTGTGACGCAGGCTTGTAATCTCTTGTTGTTCAGTTACTAAGCTTGATCAAAAATGGGGCTTATTCCGCATTCTCAATTGCTATCAGTTGCATCTATTTTGCTTTATCAGCACTGTTTTAAATTCCATTAGCATGTATTGTTCCACTATATAATGCATATATGGAAACTTTTAAAAGCACTTGAACTGTAAACGTAAATTTTTTCAATATCTTATTATAATATATTTCTCATAAAACCTTAAAATTTTGTTTAAAATTGAAACTAATGAATGTTGTTCTGTTATCGATAACTCCCATAAATTTAAACCGTTATGGCGCCAGCTGATACTTAAATGTTTCATTTAATACTAGAATCACAAAATTTCAGTACAACCGCGGTCGCAGCCCAAAATTAACGCCGCTTCTCGACCGTAGCACAATTTTGATGGACGGCTCCACATCCGCACCCATAGGCAGCAACTGGTAGTGCCGCATCAGCTTGGTCACCATGGTTTTCATCTCCAGCAGAGCGAACTTCTGGCCGATGCAGTTCCTCGGACCAGCCGAGAAGGGTATGTAGCTGTAGGGTCCCAGTCTGGAGGCCTCCTCCCCCAGATGCCTCTCCGGCTGGAAGAGCAGGGGATCGGCGAAGAGTGATTCATCGCGTAGAAGCTGCCAGAGGAGTATGACCACGTTGGTGCCCACTGGAATGTGGCCACCATCTGGCGGGCATTGCAGAGTATGTATCGTGTGGTTTATGCACATCATTATGCCACTCACCTAAGGCCAAATCCTTTTCCAGACAGCGAGCCACTGCCGGGATCGGCGGATACAATCGCAGCGATTCCTTGACCACGCAATTCAGATAAGGCAGCGCAGCGAAATCAGCGGAGACCACGGCCCTGTTCAAATCCCGACCGTAGTGCTCCTTCAGCTCCTCGAACAGCCTTTGCTGCACTGCCTCATGCCGCGAGAGCAGATACAGACAGAAGGACACCGCCGAAGTGGTGGTGTCGTGGCCCTCAAAGATGAAGGTGTTTACCTCATCGCGGATCTGGTTGTCGGTCAGCGGTTGTCCATCCAGGGAGGCATGCAGCAGAGTGTCCAGCAGTGCGTGACGCTTGTCTGGCTTCTGATCTTGGTTCTGGTGGGTCTCCTTGGCCAGTCGGAGACGGCGCTGCTCTATAATTCTATTGGTAAACTGATGAAGGCAGTGGACGCCTGCTCGTTGTTTCTTGAAAGCACTGGGCCAGCACAATCGAAAGAGCTGGGGAAACAGGAGGTGCGGTCTCATGAACCTGGTGGCCAGGATGTTCGTCAGACTAAACGGGTATTTAAGTTAGATGACAGTTAAAAAAAGGCATGAAGAACTGCACGTCCAACCTACTCCTTAACAGCGTTCACCACCTCGGAATCCGCATCTCCTTGGGCGTCCACACCCACCCCCATGGCCGTTTCGGTAATGATGTCCAGAGCAGCCAAACCCACGTAGGGATAGATGTTTACGGCCTCCTCGCCAGCGGACAGGGGTTCCAAACGCCGCACCAACCTGCTGCTCTGCCTGTCAAAGACCTCCACGAACTGCTCCAGGATGCTGAAGTGAAACGTGGGCGTGATGATCTTGCGCATTGTGTGCCACTCCTCGCCGCGGCTCAGGAGCAGTCCGTTGCCCAGCCAACCAGTAAGGGCCCGGTACATGGTGCCCTTCCTCAGCTGCTGCTGACTGTGCAGCAGAGCATCCACGTGTCGGGGCTCCGCTGTGACCACAATCACGTGGCCCAGCACAGAGCCCATAAAGCTGCGTCCAAAGCGCTGCACATACTCGGCGAACTTCTCGTGGAGATCTGTCATGTGTATCAAGGGGAATTAGGAGGGCTTATGCATTTCCACCTCAACTCACTGTCAGGCTGGAAACTGCGCATCTGCCAGGCGGATCCCACTAGGGGAACTCTCGAAACACTGGGTACCACGCCACGTAGCGGATGTCGCAGCTCCTTCAGCGCCAATCGGAGCAGCCAGGCCACCAGGCGAGCCAGCAGAAGGGTCACCAGCAAGGCCACCAACATGTTGTACCCCCTGCAACTTGGTGTGTGGGGGGAGTGCTCTTGGACTCTCGAACAGCCGGCAATCTTATCTGGAGCACCGCAAACGGATTATCTATTTATACACCGCTCAGGCCCTTGTCATTTATAGCGTTGCGCTGAAGTTTATATAAGCAAACCGATTCGAATAGTGCGCCTTTGGCCAGAGTGAAACGGCGAGACCTTGGCGCACCCAGCTAAGCGAGATGGAGAACTACTACAACTAGCCAGCTGTTTTCCCACAACAACAACTGGTGACAAATCAACCAACCAACACAGAACAGAACTAGAGAAAGAGTAAAGGTACTTTCACTTTAATTTACCCAAATGCCAAGAAATATATCACATAATACACATTTATTCTAGTCAAACACAGATGCTAAGAGAAGTCTCCTCAAGCTGCGCGAGGTTTCAAGCCCAAATGGACGCCGTTGACCGAACGCAGGACGATGTTCATCGAGTGCCGGGGATCAGGACCCAGGGGCAGCAGCTCAAAGTGACGGAGCAGCTTGCTGATGGTGCTCTTCATCTCCAGCATGGCGAACTTCTGACCAATGCAGTTCCTTGGTCCAGCGGAGAAGGGGATGTAGGCATACGGATGAGTCTGGGGAACATCCGCCTCGAATCTCTCGGGTCGGAATTCATCGGGGTGCTCAAAGTACTTCGGATCCCGGAGGAGAACATAAATGCCCAGGGTGAAGTTTGTGCCCGCTGGAATGCGCTGGCCACCTGAGAATACAGAGGAGTCCGATTAGTTGAGGGACTGGGATATTCTTAGCCACCACCTACGTATTTCCACGTCCTCGGCGAACCAACGGCCGATCATGGGCACTGGCGGATGCAGACGCAGCGACTCCTTGATCACATTCTCCATGAACTTCAGCTCACCCAGATCGCGCAGTGTAACTGGGCCCCTACGATCCTCCTCTCCGAGCACCTCACGGATCTCCTGCACCAGACGCTGCTGCACCTCCGGATGCCTGGAGATCTCGTACAAACAGAAGGAAATGGCCGAGGTGGTGGTGTCATGGCCCTCGAACATAAAGGTGTCCACCTCCTCGCGGATGTCCTCATCGCTCAACGGAGCCCCGTCGATGGTGGACTGCAACAGCACATCCAGCAGGGCCATGCGACGCTTCTGGCCCAGATCATCTTCCACCTGCTCCTCTGGCGTCGTCTTACCCTGCGAGCTATTGACCAGCGTGTGACGCCGCTCGCGGATGATGTTCTCGGTGAAGTCGTGCATCACCTTGATGGCCGCATCCTGCCGTTTGGCCTCCGATGGCTTGGTCAACCGGAAAATCCAGTCCACCCGCTGCCAGGCGTGGATAAAACGGGTGATCATGATGTTGGTGACGCTGTCACAATGAAGGATTAGTCAGATAGGAAGGGACGTGCCCGCCAGAAGCACACTCACTCATTGACGGCCTTTACGTAGGGCAGATTGGGATTCATCTGGGCATTTATCTTGGTGCCCATAGCAGTTTCTTAAAGGAAAAAAGAATGTGTTAAGGTGATTAACTTTAGAACTTTTCATTTTGCCTAGGCCTAATAATCGCTCCATGTATTTTACAGACGTTAAAGGAGTAGAAAACCACTTCATCTTACCTGCAATGATGTCCAGGGCAGTTAAACACACCACCGGAAAAATGTTGATGGGCGTCTTGCCATCGGCCCTCGATTGAAGTTGTTCCACCATCACGCCGCTCTGCTGGTCAAAAATCTCGACAAACTGCTCCAGGATCTTGAAGTGGAACGTGGGCGTGATGATCTTCCGCCGACCGTGCCACTTCCTGCCCGTGCTCATCAGCAATCCCTCGCCCAGCCAGCCATGGAGCAGCTTGTACAGATTATTCTTGGTGATGTGCTGTTGGCTGCTCAGCACAAACTCAATGTCTCGGGGATCCGTGGAGAAGACGGCCAGCTGGTGGATAACCCACACCTTGTAGAGGTAACCGTACTTGCGTTGATTCTTCATCACAAAGTCCATGATTTCTACGGACCGAAATGAGGTGCGATTATACTATGCAACTAGTATCGGATTTGGTTTGATATCTATTTTTAACTTAATATTTTAAACTCTAAAATTGTAAATTGTAATTAGAAATTTGTACGGTTTTTACAGAGTCTTAAAGACATTAATATTCGTAGGAAGCAATTTGAAATGAATATAGATAAAAAGGTTTTCCAATGTTATGTTACTATTTTTTATCATACAAATGAAAGGAGAATGAGAACTCACGCTCGGCATTCAGGCCGCGGTACATGAGGACGTTTCCCAGCAGGGGAAGTGGTCGCGGACCCGGCATATAGTGCAGCATATCGTTGCGCCGCTTCCGCCAAAAGTAATCCCACACCAGAAGTGTGGCGAACGCCACCAGGAGGAGCAGACCCGCAGCAGCCAGCATTGTTCAGCGCTCGACGAATGATTCACAACTGAACGTATGAACTGTAAGTAATGAAAGCGATTCTTTATCTCCCGCCACGCTTTGGGGCTCTTAATCTGGAATCCACCCCCAGCTGGCATCCGTAAAAGAGAGCCGGGGCGTAAGAGAACCTGGTCTGGTAATCTATTTTTTGCAGTGGCCTGTTTCCAGTAGGTAAATGCAAAGAACCATTTACGAATCGAGCCAAACTAGAGTTTATAGCCGAGTCATGATGATCGTGGTTTGTTTTTTTTTTAGGATCTTGCTTAGTTTAAAGCCATAATTTGGGCTTCTAGGGCCAAAAAGAGGAATAGTTTAAAATAATAATCGTTTACCAAATGGAGTATAAATTATTTAATTTTTCTTGACCACTTTCACAAATAAACTAACGAGTTTATGTTATGGCTCTAAAAAAACTAACTGAAAGCTTGTGGTTTTAATTACAATATATAATATCATAATAATAGTCCTTGCATTACTAAAATATATATTTATTTAAAAATGTACATAATACTTTAGAAAACAGAACACAAAAAACATAAAAAATCCGAATCAAATGAGAATTTTTAACACAGGCTAATTTTCATAGATACATACATATATTAAAATGTTTTATAAAATTTACATCGATTAAGCCTTTCTTTCCTAAATTATGATACTAAAATTTCCAAATTATCACCATGAGTTATAGATATGTCGATCTATTCCACATTGGACCCCCACATTATTATCAAATGATGCATTTGTCGCTCGAACAACTATACCTTCTTATCAGTAATGTATTTGTGCTAATGAAACGCATTACAAAAGTCCAATTTATCGAACATCTATGTATGCATGTATAACTTGAACAACAAATTCCAAAATCTTGTATTGTTAGCTTATCTTACTTCAAAGAATCCACTCAAGTTGAGTTCGTTGTTTAATCATGATTACCAGGCAGCTGGGAGTTCTTATCAAAGTCGCTCGTCATGCTTACTCAGCAAATCGAAATACTGGATCTAATACTCGATCTGGCAGATTATTAAATTATTTATTATAAGCTATACCGATTCTGAGTTACATCGCCAAACAGTCAAAAAAATATGTCAAAATAAAAGCAAACAGCATTTGTAATAAAATGTATTGATAAGTTAAATCTTTTAACCACTTTATTTTGAACCAAACGGAAGTCGTTTAAAAACCATTAATGGAAACATCGATTTGCTCTGATTAATTCTAGGCACTGCCGATATTTCGGCACTTATATGTATGTAAATGGGGCCCAAGTTAAATAGCAAAGACAAATGATTGTTTAAGCTTTTCAGAGAGTTCTAGCTTAACCTGTTTACAGCTAGTACAGCTTCCGAGCGATTCTCTCAATAATTTCTAATCTCTGAATGCGTCTTATAAAATTAAGAGAGCGGTATTCTAAGAGAACTTAAACTTTGCATTTTTAATTGCATAGTTTCCAGCTTTTGAAGAGGCAGTCTTAACTTTAATAAATAAATAAATATAAGTTTAAATATTTGGTCTATTTACAGAATTTCTTGATTCACAATTTTTTGGGATTCCCCAAGTTAATGGTTTGTTATTATTGTTAATCACAGCAATAGATTGGTAATTTGGAAGAAGAATGAAAATATTAAAATTGCATAGCTTCTTTCGCAGCTTAAGTTGTTTAATTAATAAACCAATATACATATATATATTTTTGTTCTGTTTTTGGTCCCACGCGTTGGCTTCGGATCTAATCAGAAGCTATAACCTGACACTCATGCACTTCTACGTATACATATATATGGTCAGATAAGGCAAGGGCTATGCGACTTTTCCCAGTTGTTATCCAAGGCGGGGGCGGAACCACGTCCGTATCAATCCGAAAACTTAGTCTTCCGATAGTGGGAGACGCCTTGAGTTACGATGAAGGTGCCGTTTCTGTTTCATTCATCAGGGAATGTGAGTCAACGAACCACTACCGATCCTCGGAGATCATCTTGAAGAGGAGACTCCCTCCATCATCCTCAGAAATTCAACTACTATGAGAGATGGAGGAAGGGATGCTCCCTTTTTTTTTTTTTTTTTTTGACCCCGGTCGTATTTTTTGACCTTTGCCTTGTTTTTCGGCTTCAGTCCACTGATTGTGGTCGCCTTATCGCAATCCGCGCTGGCTACAAAACAGCCCCGCCACCGAGCAGAACAAACTAGTCGATGGCAAACGTTGCCAGCCGTTAGATACATTCAATCCCGATCCCGATACCAATTCAATTCAATCCAGTGCCGAAAGCGCAGCCATGTATCTGGAGCTCTTTGCGATCCTCCTGACCACGGTGTTCGTGTGGGACTATCTGCGGAACAGACGCCACAACAGGATGTACGCCGCCGCCGGAATCCGGGGACCCAGGCGCTATCCCCTGGTCGGCAATGCTCTCATGATGATCAAGGAGTCACCCAAAAGTAGGTTATGACCAGCCATAGGTAACAAGTACTAGGTCAACCAAACAGTTCAACAAGATTAATTGTTATAAAAACTAAAAAGTTCATAAGTAATTCTCTTCAAATATGAAATGCTCTGTGTTTTTTGGTGTTTTTAAAACCATCTATGAAATCCAAAATTTAAGTGCCTAGACTTATTTTGAAAATAATTTTAAAGATTCTAGGATATACATATTTTAAACTAATTTATAACTATAGGTCGAGACCAAAAGCAGTACTAAGTCAAAAAACTGTTCCACAAGTTGTTTAAAAAATTTTAAAGTTGTCGTTTCAATCTCTGTTTTTTTTAGAGATTTCAAAAGATTGGTTTTAAAATAATACAAAATTTTAAATGAAAGATTGACTTTCAAATTTCTAGAGATTTTAAAACAATGTTTAGAAATGCAAATAATAATGTTCTAATTTAAAACTCCTTCCCGATGTTAAGAAAAGCAATTAATAGTGTTTTTTTTTTTGTAAATAATTAAATAATAGTTTAAAAATTAACTTTTACGAAAACATGACTCAAAAAGACCTTGAAAGTACTTAAATAAAAAATAACCCATTTGTGTGTCTTCCAGCTGTCTTCGATCTGCAATTCCGACTGATCGCAGAGTTTGGCAAGAACATCCAGATTCAGATACTGGGCGAACGTGGCTTCATGACCGCCGATCCCAAGATGATCGAGGCGATCATGAGCAGCCAGCAGACCATCCAGAAGAACAATCTTTACGGGCTGCTCCACAGCTGGTTGGGTGAGGGCCTGCTCGTTAGCAAGGGAAAGAAGTGGTTCCGCCGCCGGAAGATCATCACACCCACCTTCCACTTCAAGATCCTGGAGGACTTTGTGGAGGTCTTTGACCAGCAGAGCGCCACTATGGTGCAGCAGCTGTACGACCGGGCGGATGGCAAGACGGTGATCAACATGTTCCCGGTGGCCTGCCTGTGCGCCATGGACATAATTGCGGAAACGGCGATGGGTGTGAAGATCAATGCCCAGCTTCAGCCGGACTTTCCCTATGTTCAGTCGGTGAAAACGTGAGTGCCCCTTCTACATATTTTTAGCATATATATGTTACAGATTTTAGGGACTGCAAATTACATGATTATTCATGAGATTTTGAATCGAATCATACACAAAAAATCGTTTTCTCCAAGACTAATGCATTTAATTTTTTATAATATTATTTAAAAATAATAATTATTTTCAAAGATTGATTTGATGAAAAAAAAAAAAATACTTGAAAAAAATTATGAGCGATATATATAGTATAATATAATATATCGCTCAAAATAAAACCTATTTTGAAAGTGCGGCTTCTGTGTACAAAGTTTCGACAATGTTTGTGAAAAAAAATCGTCGAAACTCAGTACACAGAAGTCGCAGTTTCAAAATGAGTTTTACCTTAAGCCCTTTTTTGTTTTAAAAAAAATATTTTAAAAATATTTTTGATTTTTCCTCAACAATTTTCATTATTCTTGAAGAGAATACTCATTATTATTCATTGTTTTGTGATTTTTAAAATAAAACCTATGATACACGTGTGTATTTTAGTGCCTCTGCCATGTTGGCCGAACGCTTCATGAATCCCCTGCAGCGCACGGATCCCTCCATGAAGCTCTTCTATCCCAAATTGTTCACCAAACTGAACGATGCTGTGAAGAACATGCACGACTTCACCAGTAACGTAATCACCGAGCGTCGCGATCTTCTCCAGAAATCGATTGCCGAAGGAGGAGGCGCAAATGGCAATGTCAACGTTGCCCCCTTGAACGATGTGGGTCAGAAGCGGCGCCTGGCCTTGCTGGACGTGCTCCTGCAGTCCTCCATCGACGGAGCACCGCTGAGCAACGACGACATCCGCGAGGAGGTAGACACCTTCATGTTCGAGGGGCACGACACCACGACAAGCAGCATCGCCTACACCTGCTACCTGCTGGCCCGCTATCCGGAGGTGCAGTCCCGCGTCTTCCAGGAGATTCGGGATGTGATCGGTGACGACAAGTCCGCGCCCGTCAGCATGCAGCTCCTGGGCGAACTCAAGTACTTGGAGTGCGTAATTAAAGAGTCGCTGCGACTGTTTCCCGCGGTGCCGCTCATCGGACGTCACATCACCGAGGACACCGTGCTGGACGGAAAGCTGATACCCGCGAACTCCGACGTGATCATCCTCATCTACCATGCCCAGCGCGATCCCGACTACTTCCCCGAGCCGGAGAAATTCCAGCCGGAGCGTTTCAGCATGGAGCGCAAGGGCGAGGTCAATCCCTTCGCCTACACTCCCTTCTCCGCCGGGCCGAGGAACTGCATCGGCCAGAAGTTCGCCATGCTGGAGATGAAGAGCTCGATCAGCAAAATGGTGCGGCACTTCGAGTTGCTGCCCCTCGGCCAGGATGTGCAGCCGGTGCTGAACCTCATCCTGCGCTCCTCCACGGGTATCAACTGTGGCATCAAGCCGCGAGTCTATTAGGTGTTCCTGGGTGGTCGTCTTCGTTCTTTTCTTTTTAGCTAGTTTTAACTCTGTAAATATTTCAATAAACTACTTGTACATGGTAATGTCCAGTGATGGATGGCACTCAGTATTCTCATGAGTGGGAATTTAAATTCTTTGGAGTTGAGGTATAGGATTACTGAGCTCAACATCTTCAAAGGGTAATGCCTAAATAGGTTATAAGTAGGGTACAACAATTGAATCAATCTAAGATTTTAAAAGCTTATTAGGAAACAAATTACGAGAACGTCTGTCAGTAGAAATATAAATTTACTCTACAATAAAGGTTTAATAATTGTCATAGCATATACAAATTAGAATTGAATAAAGAAAATCATAGATATACATTTTATAAATCAGCAAATGGGAACAAATTCTATCTAGATCTTGACCCTTCATCACTGTGGATTATAAGTAAGAAACAAAAGGTACAAAAATATTAGATCTTTAAGGCTAAAATGGACAAACTTGTTAAAGAAAATATTAACTGTCAAAATAACTAGATATATTAAGGACTATGAAATAAAATTGATTCGATTTAATAATTATCATAGAACATAACATCAATAAATGAAAATAATTTGGCCCTTTGTTTAACAGAACTCAGCAAAAGACATTGAAATCAGCAAAGGGGAATAAATCCTATCTAGATCTTGACCCTCCATCACTGTACACAACATGCACGCACTTCGTCCTCGACTTGAATGGATTCTATATTAGCTTTAACCGGCTCGAACTACAACTCAAAAACAAAGGCGATTCCCGTGGGAGGACCATGGACATCCGTGGGCCATTAGTCCCAGCCGTAGACCTTGCCCGGAGTTGGCAGCTGGGAGGTAGCCTTCGCCGCTCCTCCGGCCTCCGCCGCCAGCTGCTTCTGCTGCTCCACCAGGTCGATGGGCGGGAAGACCTCGCGGCGGGCGTCCCGCTGGCAGTAGTAGTTGGCCGAGTGCAGGTGCGACGGTCCATCCGGAATCTCCGGCTGCGGCTGGGTGCGGTCTGCCAGTCCGTCCTCGAAACGCAGCGCCAGGTTGTGTTCCCGCTGTAATTGTGATTATAGTCCGGATTAATCAAAGGTTCCCATGTCCCGTCTTACATAACCGGCGAATTGTGTTATCCGGCGTTGTTGTCCGAGTGACCGGAGTACTTACGCCCAGCAGGAAGGCCCGGATGCGCTGGATCAAGGGCGAAACGTCACGGCGCAGGGCAGACATCCTGAGAGATTTAATTTGTTTATTTGCTACTAAATTATGTCCACCAAAAAACACCAGTTTTTAAGTGTGCCCTTCTCGTTTTCCACCCAAAATACCGGAACGCTTCGAAAAAGCGCGCTGTGGCCACACTTCGCTTAATATATTTTTATCATAGATGCATTGTTCTATTTATGTAGTTTTCAATTTTTGAATTATAGAAAAATAATTTCATTAAAATTGAACCCCTTAACACCTTATCACAGTCACTCTTAAGGCTTAGCGTCTTGTTTTGGCCAAGTTACAACAAAAAGACTCTTTGGAAATGCTTTATTTTTTTATTTCGCCAAAAACCCAAAAATACCGTTTAAAAATCAGTTTTTGAATAAAAAGCCTGGGAAATAATTGTCAGAAGTTGGAGTGTCATGCATCGTTGGATTCGTCATAAAATTTCCAATCAAATGGCATTCACAGCTAAAATTTTTCCAGGTTTTCAAATTTTGGCAAAAAATGATGATGTACCCCCTTATCAAAAATGCGAAAATTGGCCATTGTAAAAAAAAACGGGTTTAAAATCGTATTTTTATATCAAAACAAGCTGAATTGTTTGTATTTCGATTGGGATGGATTTTATAGGTCCCCAGCTGTAAAAAACAGTCACTGTTATGGCCATGCGTCTTGTTTTGGCCAAGTTACAACAAAAAGACTCTTTGGAAATGCTTAATTTTTTTATTTCGCCAAAAACCCAAAAATACCGTTTCAAAATCAGTTTTTGAATAAAAAGCCTGGGAAATAATTGTTAGAAGTTGGAGTGTCATGCATCGTTGGATTCGTCATAAAATTTCCAATCAAATGGCATTCACAGCTAAAATTTTTCCAGGTTTTCAAATTTTGGCAAAAAATGATGATGTACCCCCTTATCAAAAATGCGAAAATTGGCCATTGTAAAAAAAACGGGTTTAAAATCGTATTTTTATATCAAAACAAGCTGAATTGTTTGTATTTCGATTGGGATGGATTTTATAGGTCCCCAGTTGTAAAAAACAGTCACTGTTATGGCCATGCGTCTTGTTTTGGCCAAGTTACAACAAAAAGACTCTTTGGAAATGCTTAATTTTTTTATTTCGCCAAAAACCAAAAATACCGTTTAAAAATCAGTTTTTGAATAAAAAGCCTGGGAAATAATTGTCAGAAGTTGGAGTGTCATGCATCGTTGGATTCGTCATAAAATTTCCAATCAAATGGCATTCACAGCTAAAATTTTTCCAGGTTTTCAAATTTTGGCAAAAAATGATGATGTACCCCCTTAACAAAAATGCGAAAATTGGCCATTGTAAAAAAAAACGGGTTTAAAATCGTATTTTTATATCAAAACAAGCTGAATTGTTTGTATTTCGATTGGGATGGATTTTATAGGTCCCCAGCTGTAAAAAACAGTCACTGTTATGGCCATACGTCTTGTTTTGGCCAAGTTACAACAAAAAGACTCTTTGGAAATGCTTAATTTTTTTATTTCGCCAAAAACCCAAAAATACCGTTTAAAAATCAGTTTTTGAATAAAAAGCCTGGGAAATAATTGTCAGAAGTTGGAGTATCATGCATCGTTGGATTCGTCATAAAATTTCCAAACAAATGGCATTCACAGCTAAAATTTTTCCAGGTTTTCAAATTTTGGCAAAAAATGATGATGAATCCCCCTATAAAAAATGTTAAAATTGGCCATATTAAAAAAACGGCTTTAAGAAATCGTTTTTTATATCAAAACAAAATGCATTTTTTTTTGGCCAAGTAACAACAAAAATGCTCTTAAGATATGTTTTTTTTTTTTTGTTAAGCTACAAAAATCCAAACACTATTGTTTTTGTATAAAAGAAATCCAAATGTACATAGTTTTCTATGTATTTATGCGTATTTTTGCCAAAAGTACTGACAGAAAGAAAAACCTAATTTTTGGGTCAGAAAAAATCCAATTTTTTTTCTACTGTGTCTATGTACGTTTATTTATTTTATTAAAATTATATCGCTTTGCACTTTCCCAACTTTTGTGTGTGTGTGGAAAACTTGAATTAATTTCCATAGAGTAATGATTACAAAATTGAGGAAACTAGCTCCTTTGGTCGTGTCCGTTAATGGATATGTTTATGGATACGGATACACATATAAATAAATAAATAATCTCTCTCGATATTCTCGATATTCTGTCTTCAGTGTTGTGTTGCTCTAATTGTAAATTAAACTAAGTACGCCGTAAACTAAACTACTGCAATTTAAAGCTGCCGCTTTAGTAGTTGCGAGAGTTCCTTTCAAAACGGTTCCAAGGGGATGGTCCTTCCTTCATCCTTCATTCTGAATCCTTCGTAGTCTTAGTCCGACTTAGGCGGGGGTGGACTCGTCTGGCGAGGATTGGGATTCGGATTGGGATTGGATTGAGGTTTCGGGACTGGGCGCCAGCTGCTCCACGCTGACGGTGCGCACAAACTCGGCGGTGGCTTCGATCACAATAGTGGGCAAGTCATCGGCAGCTGGACAAGCTGGAGCAGCTGGAGCAACTGGAGCAACTGGAGCAACTGGAGCAACTGGAGCAACTGCCTCCTCCGTATGCGGTGGCTCGCTGATGGTTGCTGGTGTGGCTTCCTCTGTGGTGGTTGGTGGTGGTGGTGGTGGTGCTTCCGTGACTATCACAGCCACAGGCGCAGGATCAGGCACTCCCGACACCACTGGCTTCATCTCAACGGAAGCTGGAGCAGGAGCTGCTGCTGGAGTGGATTCGGCAGCAGCAGCATGAGCAGGAGCTGTTTCTGCTGGAGGAGCAGGCTCTGGAGCGGGAGTAGCCACTGGCGTTTGGGCTGGAGCTGGAGCCTTATTCGCCGGCGCAGGCGATGCGGACTTGGCCTTGGCCGACTTGCCCACCGCCGGCGAGGGAGTCCTCGATTTGAGATTCTGCTCGTGGGCACTGCGATCCATCAAGACCGAGGTGGACTGCGGTGGCGCCGGACTGGCCGCCCGCTTGATGTCCTCGATCTTGGCGTCCATCTCGCTGCGGATTTCCTTGATGGGCTTCAGCAGGAACACTGGGACGTTGTCATCTCGCCGCTGGTACAGCATCTCGCCCTCGAAATCCACTAGTTTGTGTTTCCGGGCGCGCAACAGGATGCCCACCACCTTGTCGGAGATGTAGTTGTAGATCTGCGGGGGGTGGGAGGATAAGGATTAGGATAAGGAATGCAGGATTAGGGGGCAACCGAGCGCTACTCACATTGAACAGCTCGCCGAAGGGAATCACGCGCATGGTGGGCTCGTCCTTGACGTCGTAGCCCTCCGAATTGATGATCTGGCACAGCTCCAGCATCTCCTTCATCACATGGATGTTGGCCTTCTGGCCACGCATCTCCGTGAGGCTGCCGGCCAGTGGCTTGCCATACTGATCCTTCGAGAATGTGGGCTTCGGCGAGGAGGCGCGACCGTCCTGGGAGAAGGGATTCAGCAACTGCGACTGTTTGTGCTGCGTGGCCTGGTTGTTGAACATGGCTACCTTGGAGGACAGCGGTGAGTCCTGTTGTTATAAGTGGACAAAAAGCCGTTTTTAAAAAGGTTTATTTTAAGGATTTTCGAAATATTACCAAAGGAAGCCAAACTTTAAATTGAACTTTAGGGCGGTGTTGCCGGACAGGCTGCTAGTACTGCTTGTCTTGTCAGTGGGCCGCGTTGCCAAATATTCGTTTATTTAACAACGTAATAAAAGGATGCCAAACTTCAAATTTAACTTTAGGGCGGAGTTGCCGGACAGGCTGCTAATACTGCTTGCCTTGTCAGTTGGCCGCGTTGCCAACTATTCGTTCGTTTAAAAATTAACTAAGGATGCCATGCTATCAGTGCACTCTATAAGGGCGTTGCCAGACAGACTGCAGGTTCTCATCACAGATAGTCCTGTGAATTGGTCGCGTTGCCAACTATTCGTTTATTTAAAAATTAACTTTAAATTTAAGTTTGGGGCGCCGTTGCCAGACGGACTGCAGATTTGCTATTATTTCTTCTGTCAGTTGGTCGCGTTACCAACTAATCGGCCATTTAAAAATTGAATAAAGGATGCCAGACAAACTACTGTATGTCCCGTTGGTTGGTCGCGTTGCCAACAATTCGTTTATTTTGAAGTTCAATTCATCTCAAGCTATATTTTATTTTTAAATTTGGTATCTCCAGCCCAAAAGCTTTTAATTGAGTTTGCATTAAAATCAATAACATCTTGAATGAAATTTTAATCAACTAAATTGTTTAAAATATTTTTTTTTGCCTCTGTATGTACGACCTAATTAATCGCAAATTAAGCCTAAAAAACTTGAATGATGCAATGTTAAATAGATATTTCTGAAAATCGTACAAAGGAAATCTCGGAAAGCTTTCACCAAATTTCGTTTAGAATTATTTTAAAAATTAATTCGGTTACATTGCAAGTCCACAGCTTAAATGCAAGCAGTAGTTCCCGCGCTGCCAACTAACTAACTAACAACTAACAACTAAGCGCGCAATTAATGGCTTTCAAATACTACAACTTGCTCGAACAAGTTCCCACCGGGAAAATTAATTAGCCGCAATTAAATAACAGCGGTTCTTACATTTTGTGTAATTTTTCATCTAATAAGTGCAAGATTCCCGCGCCATGAGCCACAGCAGCAGCAAAGGAATGCGCAAATGTCGTGGTCATAAATAAAAGCATCTGCGGGAAAAAAAAGGGGCGAACAAACCGCGGGCAATGTGTGGGCGGGGCAGCACTCTTTGACGAACAACTAAATATATACATATATGTATATATATATATATATACAAGTTTATATATATATATGAATGCCCACTTCCTACAGCAAAAAATAAAAGCGAGAGATATTCATGAAAATCAAAAACAAAACAGGAATGACCTTCACGGCCAATTTTCGCCACTATGTTTGATTATCATTATTTATGGGGCCGAATCAAGAGTGGAGTCCCTGATCGAGTTGCCCATAGAAATGAATGAATAATATAGACAAAGGCAAATATTATTGACTCTTTCCGCCGATGCTTATATAATTTGCCATTTTGGCAACGCCCGCAATGACGATCCCAATTTGTCTTTCTTTGATCAATATCCAAAATCTCGTCAATCAGGCGAATTTCATTCATATCACACAGGCGAAAGCAAAAACGTTTAAAAATAAACGCAACGATGAATGAAAAGCGGCCAGAACTTGGCAACTTGGCTTTTTGGACGGTGGGGAGAGATTTTGTTTTATTTTTTCTTCACCCACGGGGAGAAAGTCTGGGAAAAATGCATAAAATTGTCCATGGAAATTAGTTTCGAAATTTTCATTTCGTCGCCGCAAGTGCTGGGAAGTAGCTTCTCCAGTTGTTGGGGGCGATAAAAACAAAATTTATATTGTAAACAAGGTCCACCGATCTCTAGATGCAATGGGAAATCACTGCGAAAAGCCAACGACCCAAGGAACCCACAGAAATGCGAAATTAGTTAACAATTGTGGGAGGTTTTCATCAAAATTTCTCCACAAAATAATTCATGAATAGGTTAAAATTTGATATGTCTCGCATATTTATATGTAAGTCGATTGAATTAGTATTTAAAGTAAATTTTAAAAACATTTTAGTATATTATTTTTTACCAATCCAGAAGACATTTGGTATTTATTGAATATTTTAGATCGATACAAATTTTTAAAATAATAGAATTTAAAAAACATTGTGTCCAACCCATAGGATTATTATTATGATTTATGCTGCTAAATAAATTATATAAAAACTGAAACGGATATTGTTGTGTTTTTTGGTAACATTTTCAGCTGCAGCTGGCCGATTCTGGGTCCGGGTCCGGCGAATTGGTTACGTCGTCTTCTGTTTTACGGATCTATTTGTCGGCGCCGTTGTCACTCTCGCGAAGTCTGCGCATTTTATATCTACATATCTACGGCCATATAGCCTCTATACGAACGGACACTACGGATAAGTATGGGTGTCTATGCATATTCAGCATTGCTATTTCGATGGTCATTGCCAAGAATTTTTCCGTGTTTTGATCTTTCGTGCTGTGTTCTATACGTTCTATTCGTCTATATACAGTTGCAGTCAAAACAGTAGTAGTTTTGTAAGAAACAGCAAACAAAAATAATTAATCAGGAACTTTTAAAAATTTTGTTCATATTTTTGCAATATTTAAATTTACTATTAAATAAATGGATCATAAAAAATTTAAACAATGCTATTTCCTTAAACTGCTATGAAAACGTTTACTACAGTATATTGAGAAGTGAATTTTAAGGAATAAATATATGTTTTCATTTTCCTTGAAACACTAAAACATTATCAAAAGGTTGTAAGTAAGCATTACGATAAATTAGAAGAAAAGTGGTCCTATGCCTTTTTGAAAAATTTAAATTGTCCCGTTACTATTATCTTGACCTTATCTGTACATAGTTAGCAAAGTAGATGTAGGGGTGTGTATATTTTGGCAATTCATGTGGCGACAAATTAAAACAAATACAGCAACAACAAATTTCAACAAAAAGAAAAATCCCGTCTCCGCTTTGTTATTGTTTTGTTTGCAGGCTGAAATTCTTTATATCATTTCAATCCTAATGATTTTTAATCATGCTGTTGGAAACTGTCCAGACATTTTTCTCGCGGCTTTCGCTTGACATTTATTCTGACCATTTGCATTAATATATATCTTGGCATACTTCTTTATATTTCTATTTTTTTGTTTGGCTTTATTCTTGCTTCTCACGCATTTTCTGTGGTTTTCTGCGCATAAATAATTTTCGGGCATTTGTCGCACGAGATGTGCGAGTGAAAAAAATAATACAATGTGGTTTTGAGTTGTTGCAATCTTTTTATAGTTCCCAGTGCGGCATTCCAAACATGCCTTCAAATCTTAATCCAAATCCCTTTTTTATTTTCTGGCTCTAGTGTTCCGAGGCAGTATTTTCGAGAAGCTTTTAGTATTAGCAGTATTTACTTTTCATGTAAGTATCTCACTATTTGTTACCAGTATTTGCCAACGTTATCTTCGTGCAACTAGTTGTTTTATCAGGAATTTAAAATATTTCTCCTAGATTTTTCGATTTTCCCAAGTTCTGTATCTTGAGGTCAATGCTTCTTTAAATGTTTATTCATTTCATTTAAATTGAAAATTATTTATTTAAAAGTAGCTTCAATGTTTTATTTTCATTTTATTTACTAAATCAATAATACTTCATTAATAATTTAGCACCATATTCAACACATATCCACATATCAGATTCTTTTTTAAAATTTAATTAAATTTTGTAGCAATGATCAGCAAGAATTAACAAGTATCCAATTTGGATACTTAATTTACTCACGAAAACCAAAACAGCAAGTGAAGTATTTCATTGTTGGTGAACAAATTAGATAAAAATTAACTTTATGTTTGACATTTTGGAAAGAAGTTTGGGAACTTTTTGAAGAACTGATGATCCTTTGGAATTACTATATATATAAAAATCCAAATTACTCACCACCACGAAGCGCAGGGCGCCCAATTCGTGCGATACGTCCGTCATAATTCCGCCGGGCTTGGCCTGATTGGGTTCCGGACTCTGGGTGGGATCTTGCAGATTGGTGGATTAGTGGTGCGGAGCAAACTGGTCCGGAAAGTGGTATGGTGCCTGGCCTTTTTTTGCTTTTGGCCTTTTGTCACCGCGAATTCGCAACACTTTTGCCTGCAATATCGAAAAGAGAAAAGAGTTGGAGACAAAGCCCCCGACGATGGGAAAGAAAACCAATTAAATTTAGCAACAAACAACATTCATAACAATGGAAATGTGTGTGCCTGTGCCCATTGTGGATGAGTTTTTTATTTCTATGGCGAATTGCCAAACTGCGTTTATTTACTTTTTACCAGTTTACCATTTCCTTTGTGACCCAGACCCAGACCCAGACCCCCGTGGAGGTTCATACACGGTTCCAGATTTCAGACCCGTAATGCCCATATACCATAGACCATACCCATACCCATACCAACATCCCCACCCAAAACAAAATTACAGAAGATGATGAGCAGCGGAAAATAAAAACAGAAAGCATAGAGAAGAGAGGAGGAGAGGAAAAGAGAGAACACTGATAAAAAAGTGGAATAGTAAAAAAAAAAATATGGATATCGAAACCAAAATTGTATATTTCATATTTAAGTTAAAATTGCATAATTTCAATTATCGGGAAAATATTAGATTTGTTTAAAATGCATTTGTGAAAATGTAATCTAATTTTAATTTTAAACTAAAAAATATTTAAACTAAAATCTTTGCCAAATAAAGTAAATTGAAATATTTTAAAAATGTTATTTTCAAAATAACCAAAAACCACAATGGATCAAAATCGAAACGAATAATATTTAAATTGAGTATGAAATACTTGAGTTTACTATGTTTTTTATCAGTGAAGAGTGAAGCAAATACAGAAGCAAAACAAAGCGCAAAGAGACCGTTAGGCCTGAACTTTTGAGCGCCCCTCGTATTATAGTAGTATGGTAGAGTAGTAGCAAAGCAGTATAGTAGTCGTACGACCCCGAAAGATGAACCGGAATTCGGTTTCGTGCCCATTTGCCGTTTTTCCCATTTCGAATTAACTGGAAACTGCTGTGCATTAACCCATCCGATTTCCAGCAGGCTTTAAGTTAAGTTTAAACTATACATTGCAGATACAGATCAACCACAAAGAACTTGGTATGAATATATCAAATAAAACCCTTAAACAAAAAGGGATTGCAAATAAACGTTCACTTGGCGAGAAAAATACTCAAGTACTCAAAAGTTGGGATTAGAAAATATTCATCGATCAATAAAAATGTAAAAAAATATTTGTAAGGCCTTAAGCAATTAAAAAACCAAACACAGAAATAGTGTAACATAAACTGTTTTTCCAGTTGATCCCTTTATTTATATCGAATGCAAAATACCTGTCAGATAAACACATTTTGAATAGAATTGCCAAACAAAACTCAGAAAAAAATATTATATTTTAAATACACAATTTAAAAACTTTCATTTGGTTTTTGTACTTCTTTTTACAAAAATATGATTGATTCTGATTTTTAAACATCTATTAGCTTCTAGTATACTATTCAAAGGACAACCTAACATTTATATAAGCGTGTCGAGATAAATTGTTTGACTTTTTTCATTAAGTTAACTTTTTTGGCGCTTTTTCTCACGAATTTTGGCTTTTAAGTATCCAGAGTTTTCGGCAACATTTTAGAGCTCACAATTGTGACCAGTTCTTAATTAATGATCACTGACCGGTGTTTCATTTTTGTTTGGTGTTCGTTTGGTAGGGGAGATTCCACCTGTTTTTCTCACTCACTTTTCTTGGGGATTTTGGGAAGTAGCTGCTCTTATTTTTGGCGTTTGGCTAGATGGAATTCCTCGATGTGTCGGGCTTCCAATTTTCCGTTTCGATTCGATCCACTCACAATGCAAAATGCACTCGTTTTGAAAACGTTTCTTCTTTTTGATTCAACAACGGAAAAAAAACAAGAAAAATGTCTTTCAACTGGGTAAGATGATAGTCTGTGAATGCCTGCGTTCCGGGTTTTATATCTTTTGTTTTGACTTGATTTGGATCTGATCGCTTTTGGTTTGGTATAAATCTTATTTTTTTAAATCTCTTGTTGGTACACGCCGTTTGGTAGCTGGGACCAAAAGTGAGCGCCGAAAGCGATCGCGCTTTCTTTTTATAGCCACGATGGCACACACACAGCGGCACTCGCACACTACCAAAGCAGCTGCTTTTCTGATTTTCAGCTTTTCTGCTTTGTTTTCCCGCGCTCTCTGTGAAAATGCTCTCAACATTTTCTTTTAATTTTAGACCGTTCTTAGCATTTCTACCAGCTGCCCCGAGGAAAAACTCCCAGAAGTTGGAAATCCACCAAGGGAAATTCGTGCCAAGTTCAAGGGAGCACCTGCTGGAGTTTTGCTTAGCCATATATGCCAACAATATATACATTCATGTATAGTTGTAGTCGGGGGTCACTCTTCAATCAACACCAGCTTACGCGCTTCGCTGAGCCGGAGGGTCCGAGTTCGACCGCAGAACAGATATTCTTATGCTTATGCCGATTTCGTTGCCCTCCAAGAAGCCGCAGAGAAAAGAGCGCACAGTGAGAGATACACTGGGGGAAAAAATGTTTAACAAAAATTAGACCAAATATCTAGCTATAAGAAAACACTCCCAATCATTTCATTTATCATATGAATTTGCATTTGGAATGTTTTCAAATTTTGAAAATTATACCTAAAGCATAACATTTTTAATTCTAAAGAATAATTTTTAATAGGGATTATAAAATATTATTTATTATATGTTTTTTTTAGAGTATTTGTATACTTTTAACAAAAATTAAGAAAATATTAAAAAAAATCTAAAGAATAATTGAATGTTAATTTGGCATTTTAAAACTGTATAAAAAGAAAAAATAAGAAGGATTTTAAAAAAAGTTAAAAAATGAATAAGTATCATTTTTTCAGCATTTGTCAAAATCCCAGCTTAAAAGCTATATAATTTTTCGCTCGGTGTGGCAGCGTGTGGGAATCGCAAAAGAAGTGAAAATCGAATCATCGATGCAACGCTCGTGCCGTACGTAATGCTCTTGGGAAAAACCGGAAGCGGTCGCCCTGCCCCGCCTGCTTTTCCGCCCCCCCCTCGCACATATACACATACAGTGAAGTGAAGACCCGAAATAGACCGACCATCTAACGGTATGCTGATGGTCGGGTCTCGTTTCGATCGGAGGTTCATGTAACGCGCTGATCGTCGGAGGCAATTTTGGATGCCATTCAAAATCGCATACTTTGCAACTGTTGCCGAAGAGCATGAAACGCAGCTTTTGGGATCACTAACTAACCAGCATCATCAGAATCATCAGAATCACCAGAATCTCGGATCTGTGGATGCATCTGAGGATCCTAGAGTCGCAAAAGCCATCAAAAGGCGCGTGCCCAGCTGCCTTGGCTTGTCAGTTGGGATTCGTATACGGATTCACATTCCGACTTGGTCCACTCGGCCCGCCAATCTCTAATATACGAGTTTATTCCGCTAATTAAACAAATTCGACTGCATTGTTCGCATACAATGATGGGTACATGGGCAATGAGCGAAGGGTATGATATATCCGTACCTACCTTTTCAATATGAACCTATTGTATGCCAATAATTCAAATTTTCTGATACATTTAAAAGTAGAAAACATTTATCATAAAATGTTTGTAAATTTAAATATACAATATTATCTGTTTTTGAAGTAATAAGTCCGAACGTACGTTTTCAATAAAAATCTGTTGTATGCAAATATTTCAATTGTACTGATGCACTTAACTTTTGCTTTTGCCATAAGTTAGATGCAAATTTAAGCCTAAAAACCTTAAGTTGTTCTATAATTATATTCATAATATTTGTTTATATAGAAATTCCTTAAAAGATAATTTAAAATTAAATCTTAAAATGTTTAGAATGATCTTAGTTCAAGTTTTTTTAAGTTCAATTTTATTTTATTTTGTAAACAGAAAAATTAAAATTAACTAATTTAAATCTTTTTCAAGATAAATGCACCTCTTTCTTGAAATTAACTGGGGTTTGAATGTAGATCTAAGATCTCCAATGCAGTAATCAACCACTAAATTAAATAACAACATCATTTAAAGCTAAGGATAGGATGTTCTTTAAAATATATTAAGTTGTTTGAGCAATGATAAATGCATTTCTTCCTTAAAACAAAATAGGGTTGAAGTCATTGTTACATATTTTCCAATTACATCTCCTGATGGGTGGATCCTTCAAGCCATAAGTGGTTTCCCAGGTATCCCTGCGGTTCATCACTACCTTTGGATGGTTGCCACCACTGCAGCACCCGCTTGTTATTGTTGCATGTTTGGCTGACAGCCACAAGTGCATGGCGATGCGATTTCGGTGGCAATTATACATATATTATATATTATACTCTATAATGCACGTATGTGTGGGCGAATCGGGGGCCTTTTCTTTTGGCTGTGTACGCTATATGTACTATAATGCCAACCAACATCGGGTTGCCTGGTTTGGCAGCGGCCAGCACATAAATAAAATCAACTCATGAATGAAAATGCGTTCGCCTGAGCAATTTCCTGTTGCAGCTAAAGGAAACCAGAAGACCGAAGACTAAATAATCGCCAAATGGTTAGCATAAATTATTTGATAGATTTGCCAGCATGCTGTCGGCACTATTTGTCCCTCAGTGAGACAAATGCAGTAATGAAAATCAGCCCCTAGAGAACTGCAAGTTTCGACAACATAATACGCAATGGCCGCACTTGGCCAATAATAATTTTTCCATTATTTTTCCTTTTACAATTTGCGTCTTATTTTGTGGCTCATAAACATTTCTTCAAAACAAATTGATCTTTTAAATGGAAATACATTTTCATATAGACTTCATTACTTTAGTACTTTATAAAAAGGCAAGCCAAATATTTATAGTTTTAGTAACCCTTTAATCACTGTTACCAGGTGCCATGAAACCTGTCAAAATAAACGAGACACTTTGAATCATTTGCGGTTGCATTTGCGAATCCCTCAGCTAGGAATCCGTCAGCAAAGTGAAATAATGTGTAATTCAAACAATTAGTTGTATTTATTTGTGAAAATAGCCAAGTAGAAACGTCAAAATGAGCAATTATATTCGAGACTCGGGGTGATTCATCCTAAAATTTTGGGGTGGTGTCACTTTTGACGAGAAAGCAAACAGATTTGCTAATATTTAATTGTTGGCCGGGTTAAGTAATTGCGCTGAATAACGGGCATTGCCTTATTTGGCCAGCGATTGCCGCTGTTCTTCACGAATTTAAATTTCAATGCGGTGGCGTATACGTAATGAGGGGCAACGGGAAAATTGCGCATACGCGACGGCATCTGCTTAATCATATGTTTTATTATTGTTATTATGCTGTATTATTAGTACGGGCATGCATTGTGGCGCAGAAGACGAACGATATGATGGCTTAGCTCTATATACTATATATAAGCAGGCACTTGGCCCGCATTGTGTCCATCAATAAACAGCTGTAGTCGCAAAAATAGCAGTTAAAAAAAAGCGGACAATTTTAGAACAATATATGGGCATTAAAAAAAGAAACTGCTTCCCATTTTTTTTTTGAACTGAGTGACAAGGTTACAAATTTAAATAAAAAATAAATTGAGAAATAACATACAAAAATATTATGTTAGGAATTTAATGAAAGTTGTTTTTTTCTTTTTTTTTGGGATATATTTGTCGTTTAATTTTTCAAAGACATACTAACAATTTTGCTTATTCCGACCGCTAGTATTATATATCTGCGCGGCATGGATTTATGGTAAATGGCGTATTCTATGTGAGTTCTAGATGCCAAGTGGGCAAGTGCCGTTGACGCACATTGTGCGCCCCTGCCAAATTGCTATTATTTTTATTGTTATGATGCATAGTGCCTCCAGAGTTGAGGTCTCTTCGTTTCTATCTAGCCGCTGCACTTCGGTGTGAAGTGCGCCAAGATCGGGGATCCTAACCAGATCCGTAGCCTGGATTTCATTTCGGGGGAATTTGGAATTGGAAAACAAACTTTATTCACAGAATAGCGAGTCCTTATTTATCAAAAATTGACTAAATAAAGATAGATTTAATTTTATTATATTATTGGACTAGCATATTTCTTGCAAATATGATAGTACTATTCTTAATAAAATGTATACATATATTCATTTAACAAATTTTTGCAAAATTTGTCCCAAAAGAAAAGTAAAACATGACTTTCAATGCCGATTTGTACGGAAACTTGTAAGATCCTTTGTAATTAAGTTATGGATACTATTATCTAAAAGACAAGCATTTAATATGACAGTGGTCAAAATAAACAACAAAACTAAAAGGCATTTCACTTCGAACTCTGGAAAGCATTATTAATGAACTGAAATATTTTCAATAAATGGAAATGGGGTCCCACAGTCGAACACCCTTAAAGAGGATCCTGACTACGACCTGTTGGTTAGCGGCCACCTCATTGAACTGTCGACTGGCGAGCGATGCGCAATGCTAAAATGAACAAAATTGGAAACAAAACGAAAAATGGAAATGCCAATGAAATTCCAACGCACAAATCGAGATCCCCACACCCACAAGCTATGTGGGCTATATATCCGACATCGAGAAATCGCCAGCACTTGTAAGACAAGTGTAAATATTTACGTTTTGCCTTATTTTGTGTATATATGGAAAGGGGGATGGACAGGAGAAGGAGGATCTTAAAGATAAAGTGACGTCGATGTCGACGACCGACGAGCGGCGACGCAAGAATTTTGGAATTTGGCATGGTCGAAGGACGCCTGTTGTTGCCATTGTTGTAGCTCCCCACCCCAACAAATACTATGTGGTATTCCTATCCATCTACAAATACATATATTTTTATATCTAGTACGCAGTGGGCGAATGTGCATATGCTTTTTTTTTGATTGGGATTCGGATTCTGATGCGGATTCGGATTCAGATTCGGATGTGGCTGCGGAATGAGTCAACTGGGTGCTGCCAAATGGGGAATTCTATTTTGTGCTCGTGTGCAGCACAAATGCTCATAATCATATACAAATTCATATTCGCAGCTGCATAAACATCTGCATTTTAAGGGCCATAAAGGTCAGAATTG